GGGGGGGGAGAGTAAACGTCGAAAGTATAATTTCGCAGAGGATCTTACCAGGGCTTAAATCAATCAACTTATAAAGATTCAGCTTTGAAAAGTATCTTCGAGCCAGTATTTAGCCTATACAGTGGAGTTGACAAGGCTTTGAGCCATTAAGAAACCACCGCTCTATGCTTTATGGGCCTAGAGTTGAGGGGATACTACGTATAAAGGTTGCTTTAAGTATGGTAGTGGCAGCTAAAGGTATTGACAATTGAAGGGTAGAAATATTTTATTGTTTTCAACTTCAAAAAATTCAAACAAAGAAGCATTTCTGAAACTCTTCAAACTACTTTCAATCGCTCTCAATTGGTGAGAGTATACTCAAGCTCGCTTGGGGGATTACGTAAGCTATATGCTATTTATGTCAACTTACTATAAAATTGATATCCCTATCGCTGTACCACATACTAAAATCCGAACACGGCATCTTGCCTCGATTCTTAGGATGTTGTGCATCTGCTAATAAGTGAGATACTGTTGTGATACATAAAGAAATGATAGATATGAAGTTGGGATCTTTTATAGATAATATTCTTCTCCGGAGAAGAGTTTCTATCTACAAAGAGCGCGGCCCCTCTTCGGCGGATAACAAACGAGTGTGATGTATGTCAAGGACAAGCAAGATAAAAAAACAATAGAACATCAGGCACACATTCCGCTTAATTTGCAAGTCTGCATGAAAGAGATGGTAGCCGGTTCGTGAGGAGTGTTGCACTTCAGAATAATAAGTATTAGCATTTTTATTACGCCGCATAATTCAAGGGCTTGAAGAGACTGTATTCAGTCTGATAGTCACTTACCTTTCCGTCCTTGAAAGATGCCATAGGGATTTGGCCGCAAAGGTCTTCAGTCTGGTCCTGGTCCCCACAAGTACACGCCTTTGGACCTGCTAGTCCTTGTGGTCGTGCGCTTACCGCGGAGATACTAAAGCAATACAAAGGTCAGCTCTAGCTAGACACATCAAAATGAGAAAATTGAATTAAATAAGCGACTTACAAAGCCACGGCAAGAAAATATTTGATAGAAACCATTGTGGTAGTGCGAAAAGTACTGATATATCGTATTCTGATTATTGAAGTTGATGAATTGAGAGCTGAGACTGATGAAGATGATGATTTCGAATGAGAGAAGTTTGCAGAACGCGGGAGACTTTATATGCGTGTTAGGAGCCGATACAGATCTACCGTTTGCCGCAGACCAATTGATCTAGATTCTTTTGAAGGTTTGAAGCTTACCTAGGGCGATTCCGGGGACCGAGGGCTGCCCACCACCTTTCCACACTTCCCTTACTATTTTCCCTTTCTAAATTACGTACAATTAACTACGTGTCTAGGGCAATGACCACTCCCCCCCGAATTGATACAGCCTGAGGGTGTCTCAAAAGTATAAAATTTCCATTTTAAACCCCCTGGTTACCCTAGCGTCAAGGGTATAACAATCACGCCTGCGAAGTACTACCTACTACTACGTACGTACGTAGCAGCTTTTTGGGCAGTCAACGCACTGATCATCAATGAAACAAAGATTATATACTATTATTAGCAGCCCGCGCGTCACTGTATAGAGTTTATGCGGTAGCAAACCTAATATTTTTTAACTTGACTGATACAAAATCGAACTTCAAATAAATAAACCAAAACTATCTTATAAATAGTTACGCCATATACGTAGTATTTTTCAAGTACCGCATAAACTCGACAGAGTAGCGTGCGGAGCTGCTAATAATATACCCACGGTACAGGCGTAATTATTACATCCTTGAGGGAGCCTCTAAAGTTTGAATTTTCATATTAAAACCCCTGGTTACTCTACCCTCAAGGGTGTAACAATTACGCCTGCAACGTACTACCGTACTACCGTACTACCGTACTACCGTATAGTAGTATAATCTTTATTGCTTAACTGATCGGTGCGCTAATTGCGCAAAGGGCTACGTACCACGGTATAGGCCTAAGTGTTACCACCTGAGGATGCCCTAGAGGTCTAAATCTCCGCTTTAAAGGTCCTGGTTGCCCTACCCTTATTAGCAGCCCCGCGCGCCACTTCGGAGGGTTTATGCGGTACGTACTACGTACGTAAATCACCCGCCTTCGCTTGGCGAATATACATAGTAGTTTGGCAAAAGCTCATACAGATAGATAGCAAGTCATTCTGCCATTGCTGCTGCTCGACGTACGTAGTATATGTTCAAGGAATAGGAAATTATAGGCCACCTACCTACTTAGAAGGGTAAGTCAAGTACGACACCGCTTTTAATATGAAACAGTACAATACAGCATCGCGTAAGGAGTGCGGGTTGTGCGGAGGAGGTTGCTAACTACTTTAGAAGCAGGTAAAGGGTTATTTGGAAGGTCCACGGACCGTCTCTTTAAGGAAGGTCCTTGACTTTTGAAACGGTCAGTGGACCCATTCGTCGTCAAGATTATGTGTGATCTGAATCGTAGCACTAAAGCACTAATTGTCGGAACCCCTTAAAAGGTGGGGCGTATATTGGGGGAGGCGAAACCGTCGATCAGCACCGTACTGCGTATAGATTGGTGTAAATGAGTCCATAGCAAGTCGTGCGCGATAAGGACGGACAACGGCGACAAAAAAATAGCCGATTGACATGACTCATCTTCAGCTTCGAGCAGCCGAAATGAATACCGGTACCTTTCACGCTCATTTGCAGTGCTAACACATTTCTATATGCCAATATATACTTAAAAGAAACTATATAAGATATTCGGTTGCCTAATATTCTTACGTTTATGATAACCGAAGACATTCTATACGCGTCTAAAATTCCTTATAAATATGGCGTGGAAAATACTCGCTTCCGTCTTGAGATGTTGGATGTAGCTGAGTCGTCTTTTTACGAGCGAGATACTACGTAGATAGTACGAAATGAAAGTCAACCTTAATTAAAATCCAAACTTCAATATCCTTTTTTCGATCCCAAGTAACCTTAGCAGAGCTTTCCTTTAATAAGTCCGAAAAAAGGTATCGAGCCTTTTTTTTCGATTAAGTCGAACATAGATTTGCTTGAATAAGCTTCAGCGCATATACGTAGTACCAATTCGAAAATCCTTCAAGTACCTTTTCGACGAGTTCTCCTTGTTTTAAGGGGGGCTACGATTCTTTACATGTACGAGGTGCCGCTTACGACCTTCAGCTCTTTTCTTTTTTTCCTTTTGCGGTGAAGAGAAAGACATAGAGTTTAGAGAGCCGAAGTTCCGAACCTCCTTCCTCTTTCTTCTCGAATATCACGCCGATTAAGATTTATACTTAACGGGCATACTGATTGAAAAGATTTAAAGGATTTGCGATAAAAAGGGAACGGATGTAAGAGATAGAATAAGAAGGGCTTAATTCGATTAAATGAAAACACGGTATTGCGCTTTCGAAAGAGCGTTCTGCAAACACATCGGCTTTATCCAAGGGCTACGGTACGAACGCGAGCTTTTTTTTAGCTTTATAACGAAAGAGAACGATGTTTGTATTGTACGGATCGAGGCCGCTCGTAACGCCATACGTACGGTATTTGACATTTATCAAAAGAAAACTCGACGCACAGCACTATGAATTACTTTTAAGAGGCTCATATAGTGTTCAGTTATTTAAACGAGAGCTTTTTCCTGACGTGGTTTTTACTTTCGATCAGATAGTACTTTATATATAACTCCTTTACTTAGCACGTCGGCGTACCTTATATGAGGTCCCCAAGGTCCAAGCATTGCGTTTTGGATATCCACCCGACGTTGATAAATACAACAATAACAACAACTCCTTATTTTAATTCCTTTTTCTCTTTCGCTTTATCGACGTCGAGATCGCGAGATAAAACGTCTCTTCCTTTATTACGCCTGCAGATTTAAAGTCTTTTTAAAGCGTCTTAGCTACGTATTTCATCTTTCTTCATAATGTCGTACCGATCCGAGTATGTATATCTTCGTAATAGTCGTTTGAAAGACCTAGCTAGCAAAAGAGGCGTGCGCTTATAACGTATAAAGCAGATTGCCGTAAGCTGATTGAGTAGAGCAATTGAAAGTATTAAGAAAAAAAGAAAGAGGCGCAGTTTGTAAATTATAAAGAGATATTCGGTTTATATATTCGGAAGCGAAAAATTCGGTCGTACGAGAGCTTCCCTCAGCTATTTTATACAATTTGCAGGATTGATAGACGTTTATAAGCCTACACCAGCGTAAAGGTGGAAGTTCGATTTTGCAAGCCATGGACTCATTCCGTACACCAATGTACGGTGTATATACAACTAAGAAGTACGGTAGTACGTGATAAAGAGCAGCCGACAGCTTGCCTTATCATTGTTGGTGTATTGATTTACGTCGGATGGGTATCCAAAACGCAATGCTTGGACCTTGGGGACCTCCCATGAGGTACGGCGGCGTGCTAAGTAAAAGAATTATATACAAAGTACTACTCAATCGAGAGTAAAAACCACGTTAAGGAAAAGATCTACTCGGATCTTTTGATCCCGTAATATCGCAGATTTCCTATAAGTCTCTTAAAGCATTCCAAAGGATTTGCATTAAGTTGTCTCTTGTTGGTATCGCATAGGGTGTGCACACTGGGTTGAGACCTGACACGAATGCTATTCTGTAGTATTCGTTGGTGTTGTTAAGTCTAAGAAGAGGAAGCTATTCTAGGTTAGTGGGAAGTGGTAGTACGTAGTAGTAGGTAGTAGTGCTAAGGCTGCACATGCTACTAACCCCGATCCCTCTATTCCTTCAGTCCAGCATTCTCACATCTCTTAATAACTATTGAATAAGTACAGCTTTACGGACGGCCTCGATCCGTGTAAGTACAAACATCTTTTTTCTCTTATCGTAAAGCTACAACGGCTCACATTCGTAGCCTTTATATAAAGCCGGTGTATTTGCAAAGCCATCTTATCGAAGGCGCAATACCGTATTTCCGGTCAATCAAACTAAGCTCTTCTTGTCTTATCCTTTATATGCGTTTCCTTTTTATCGCAAATTCTTTTGGTCTTTTCGGTCGGTATGCCCGTCAGGTATAACTCGTAGTCGACGTGGTAGTCGAGGGAGGGAGGTTCAGAACCGCCGGTAAGTGAAATTCTCTTCGAGGAGTCGCCGCATATCGATAATTCAATTTCGGCTTTCCAAACTCTCTGCCGCAAGAGAAAGCTGAAGGTTCGTAGGAAGCACCTCGTACGGGTAGAGAATCGTAGCCTCTCGAAACGGCCATGGGACGGCCACGGCACGGCCACGGAACGGCCTCTTTTAATAGGACGGTCTACTAGCGAAGCTGTTCCTGAGCAAAAATCAATACTTATTTTAATCGGTCTAATGACCGTCTGCTTAACGATAGGGTCAGAGGACCATTTAAATGCCCCCCCATCTGCCTTCAAGGTATGTCACCGTTTTCACTCTTTCTTACTTATATGCAATCATGTTCTGACTCCGGTAGTTTTATTCCAGAACCATGATCCTGATATAGTCAGATTGAATGCCCACGTGCGAATTAGACAGAGATGACTTGGACAAACAGAAATATCACACAGGTCTTTCTTCTCGCTGCGAGAAATCATAAAATATACAGCAAGTGCAATGGGAAAGACAAGGTAGAATTGAGATCCATATTGCTAGACAAAATCGTAAAATCCGAGTACAGCATATTGCCTGAAGTCTCAGGATGTTGTGCTCTGCTGATAAGTGATAAGTAGAGAAATCATTGTGGAAGTCCGGGGAATCTTGGAAACTCCGCGGGAAAGCTGCAATAGCCCGCTTCGAGCTCCACATCGCGACCCGAGCGTATCGTAACAGGAACACTCGCAACGAAAGTCCGGCATAACAGAGAACCAAATACATCGAACCAAACACATCAAACAGCTACACAATTTCGCAGGCCTCAATGTAGCATACAGCCTATTAGCTAATCCCCAGAGCTATCAATGTCTTCCTTAAACAGCGCCGGCGGGAGCACGAGGTCCATCTTCCCCAAAGGCCCCAGCTTCACATTGGAGAACTTCTCGAACAAGGACTTTATCGTGCGGGACTTCATTGAGGAGCTAGCAGAAAGTGCGGCTCCTGTGAACCGGCGCTCTGGACCTGCGCAGCAAACATTCGACTCAAAACCTCTGATCCGGACATTCGAGAGTGAGTTACAGGCGCTATCACATCTAGCAAAAACTAACTTGGTAGATGCTCTCTCACAGCTTGCAATTCTTTCCGATGAACTCGGAGAAAAAGAGACCGATCTCCTCACATCCGTACGGCGCGCGGAGATCCAACATGACCAAACGCTGGATACATTAGGAAGGAAGCTGGACCAGTCGATTGACTCCTTCGAAACACTCGACTCCTCGCTGAACGGATCCAATGGCACGAACGGAAACGACAGGACTGGTAGACCCGATGGGGGTGGTAATATCGCTGTGCAAATTGGAGAAAGGCTTGAGGACTTGGACAAGCAAAGAAGGCGGGCGCTGGATGCAAACTTCTTAATCCAGTGCTGGCTCGAGGTGAGCGAGAACGGCCAACTCACGTCGCTAGAGGAAATGATCAGACGGCAAGGGAACGCGGAGAACAAGGTTCGGTCAGCAATTATTGCGAGGCAGCTCATGAAGATAAGCCAAAGACTAGACACGGCGTCCTGGGCGCAAGCGAACGGATCCAAGAAGTCGAATGGAGTCTCGAATGGTGTTGCTGGGTATAGGGGCCACAATACACGGGAAATAATAGAAAAGTTTTCTGAAACGCTTGAAAAGGATCTGCTGAAGCAATTCGACGAAAGCTATCGGAGGCAGAATTTTGAAGATATGTTGGATTGCGCCAAAGTTCTACACGACTTCAATGGGGGCTCAAGTGTTGTGGCACTTTTCGTCAATCAGCATCAGTTCTTCATAGACCGGAGCCAGCTGATCACAGATGAAGTGACAACAGACAACGAGACTTGGGAGAAGCTCGCCGACCCTGACTCGGACCCTCCAGGTGTAGAACCATCTCTACAGTCTTTGATTGACGAGATCAGAGTGGTTATGCAGGATGAATCTTTCATCATTAAGCGGGCTTTTCCCTACTACGATGTGGTTCTGACGAAATTCATTCAGAGATTATTTCAGCAGTCTATCCAACAAAGGTTGGAGATGGTCCTAGAAAAGGCCGATACTATTTCTTCGCTTGCATTCCTACGGTCACTACATGCTTCGAGGAGCTACATTAGTAATCTGAACGAAGACCTAAAAGCACATGGACTGACAGAGCATCCCGAGCCATGTTCCGCACAAACGGCGCTGAGCCTTGACCAGCAACTAGATGAGCTCTTCGTTCCATATCTTGTCGGTAACTCATATATCGAGCGAGAACGCAAGAACCTGGAAGAGCTGTACTCTTCACTGCTTTTCAAGTACACCATCTATCATTCGCGGCAGAAGAAGGTCCCTACTGGATTCATGGCTTCGTTGGCCCAACAGGGTACCCAGCTGCTGTCATCAGCTAAAGATACCTATATCAACCGTCTCGAATCGTCAGAAATGACACCGACACAGAAAGCCATGATGTTGAGAGTTGCTGGGCTGCGTGACACAGACAAAAATAAGAACGAAATCGAAGTCACAGATGAAGACGGTATTCTGAGCATTCCCAATGCGAAGCGGATGCTGAAATGGTTGGCTGAAGGTGTTCGAAGAGCTCTTGAACTGGGAAGCGGCAGTGATACCCCGAAAGATGTGTCGGCACTGCTCAACCTTCTCTTGATGAGCATGGGCCAAGTTTATATCGAGACGGCACTTGACGCGGCGGCTGAGAAAGCAACGGCACAGGAAACCACGAAAACCGAGCCAGATCTCGCCTACCTCCCGTCACTGCAACCCGCCATCACGATTACCAAGATAATGTCGCGGTTCATTAATACAGTCCTCATAAGGCTCGCCGAGGGCAACACAACAGTCCGACGTGGAATGGAAATGCAAACGAAGTCAGGAGTTGAGCGAATCGAGTCCAAAACCAACCTCATTATCCGAAGTACACTCACCGTGGTTGTAAACTGGGTGACCAAACTCCTAGCATCCCAGAAGAAGATGGACTTTAAGCCCAAAGATAGTGATCTGGACGGGGGGTATCTAGAGATGTTGCAAACAGCACCATGCCTATCTATCTGCAATTTCCTTCAACGAGTATTTACTCTGGCATCCCAAGCAATCGACGGCCAGAACCTTCAGGTTTTCAGCTCCGAGCTTGCAACAAACATCCGGGATCTGCTTTTCGAGCATTTCAAGAAATTTCAAGTCAATGTCACGGGAGCCCTGATGGTCACGAAAGACGTCTCGAAATACGTCACAACATTGAAGGAATGGCAACTAACGAAAGATGGTGAAGCAAATGTCGAGGTTCTGAGTGAGATTGGAACTCTGTTCATCATTGGACCCGAAGCTCTGCGTGAGAGGTCACGCAACTTCGTGCCTGGTGGAGCTGGAAAGAAGCTACAGAAGTCTGATTTTAGACAGTTCATATCAAAGCGGGATGATTCCGGAAGTGTCGGCATTCAGAGCGTGCTCGCGGGGCTATGATACCATTGTTTTACTGTTTGAATGTTGCATATCCGCATTTGAGGCGTTGGAAGGATTTTTTGATAGAGCGTGCGATATGGACGGGATGTTTGTGGTGATCTGGTGGTGTATGATTAGAATACGAGGATTTGATTTCCAGCCATACTAACTAGGGCTCGTCTGGTTGAACGCCAAAGTGTAAAACCTTGCTTGAACTGTAGAACCCAAGGAGGTGCTCGGTGTTTGGTTCGTAAAATCGATTGCAAGACCCCAGTTGTACTTTGTACAACCTATTTCGCCACCCCATAGATACAAATCCGTACAACCTGTAAAGTCACCTTTTGACCTAAATGCTCCTTGTATTTTGTGAGTTTGTACGCTACCTAGCCAAGCCACCAACTTTCAGTAGTCTTGCAGTAGTGTTGCAGTACAGTAGAGTCTACCTACGTATACCGGTAGGTACCGGTACTTTTACCACGTCTTTCCTTATCGATAATCAAGCGCTTCAAATGAAGTCATTAAATACGGGTCAAAATCTTTTTCAAATTCGGTCGATATTTTTAAATCAAACGTCATATTACTTAAATTATCAGGTTTTTACAGTCAGGTTTTACAATTCGGTGTTGAACCAAACGAGCCCTACGTTGCCATCTGCTCCATCTTCGCATATTGTAAAGACTCTAGTCGAACAGCAAATTTGGAGGGGAGATGTCGCTCTGCATTTTGTCATTACCGGTATCGGAGTTGTGATTCTTCATTCTTTCCTCTTGTGCACCGCCGATTGCCATGCGCCCTAACCCTTTACAACGCCCAATTCCCAATACTCTACACTCTATCGTCGTCCCCTACATCCTACACATTGATTCCTAAGGAAGCTTGAATCCAAAGCCCGCCATACAGCTCTTATACTTGTCAATCGTAGTCGCGCAGTCCTTCTGCGGGTTCGGTGCATTGCTGAATAGCATGCATTCGTCGCGGGAGGCTTTCTCTTCTTTGCATACGCAGCATGGCTATTCGCGTCCATCAGAATCTTTCCGTACATGCTACCGGGGAACATACCTTGACTTTGACAGCAGCGTCTCCAGCTGGCTTGAGGTCTTGTGCCATGTTCGCTCCAGTGGCGGTAGCTGTAAGTAGCTGGTTAGCGGGAGACCATATGAAATGAGTAAGAGAACTTGCCCATTGAGACAGCATTCGAGGACATTTTTTGTTCGATATCTGCTTCTTGAAGGCTTTGGTAATAGTACATTGGCAAGGTGCTCCGTATGGTGAAACGGATCTGGGTGTGGCGTTTGCCACCAACTGAGCTTCCATGTCCACGCCAGGCGGCCGCGCCCAAGAAGTTTCTCCGGGCCGGTGCTAGAGGCCGCTTCCTCTAGTGGGGTAATTCTGAAAACGACGAATTTCTTGCTCCAGGCGGCAGGACAACATACAACTACGAAAACAAATTTGTAAAACACGACTTACAAATATGGCATCGAGCACGAAGATCTTCTCGCTCGAGGGGAAGGGGTTGAAGCTGGATACCGCTGCAGATGTCGAGGCGCATATCAAAGCTCTTCGCGAGCATGACATCGAGGAGATCCGACTCCAAGGCAACACCTTGGGTGTGGAAGCGTGCAAGTTACTTGGGGAGGTACTGGAGACGAAAAAGAATCTGCAGGCGAGTCTCCCTTTGCATGCACGCTGCGTCCTAATTTTCCCTATACTGACCGCGTCCCTAGATTGCCAACCTGGCCGACATATTCACAGGCCGACTGCTCAACGAGATCCCCCAAGCCCTCTCCTCCCTCCTTACAGCACTTCTCACGCTCCCTAAACTCCATACCATCAACCTGAATGATAATGCCTTTGGTCTGAACACCCAAGCACCACTCGTCGCCTTTCTCTCTTCGCATGTACCCCTCCAACATCTCATCCTCAACAACAACGGACTCGGCCCGCACGCCGGCATTCTGGTCGCTGATGCACTTTCCGCCTTACACGCAAAGAAGGAAGAAGCTAGAAAGGCAGGCCAGGAAGTCCCTCTTCTCGAGACTGTAATCTGTGGTCGGAATCGTCTCGAGAATGGCAGCATGACTGCATGGGCGAAGGCTTACAGCCTGCACACTGGCGTCAAGGAAGTCAAGATGGTGCAGAACGGTATCCGACAAGAGGGAATCTCACATTTGCTTACAGACGGTCTGCGACATGCGAAGGGTATTAAGGTGTTGGATCTCCAGGATAACACTTTTACCATTCTTGGTGCTAAGGCGCTTGCCACTGTGGCTCCAGGCTGGACGGAGGTTCAAGAGCTTGGGATTGGGGATTCTCTCTTGGGCGCTAAGGGAGCGGTTCTTTTTGCGGATTCGCTGGGTAGGGGGGAGAATAGGAAGCTTGAACTCTTGAGACTGCAGTATAACGACATTACGGCGAAGGGATTAGAGGCCTTTGCGAAAGCTGCGGTGGAATCGTTGCCTGCTTTGAAGAAGATTGAGCTTAACGGTAACAAGTTCTCCGAGGATGACTTGTCGCTTATGAAGCTGCGGGAACTCTTGGTCGATCGCAAAGAGAAGCTTGCCGGTGATAACATTATTGAGGATGACTGGGGTCTCGACAGCCTCAGTGATCTTGAAGACGACAGTGACGATGAGGATGAGGATGAGGATGATGAAGAGGATGATGAAGAGGCAGAAGAGGCTGGGGAGTTGAGAGCCAAGCTACTTGAGGATGCCGAGGAAGCTCAGGTATGTACACTTTTCTTCATCAGATTAGGCGCTCCAATTCTTGTCATCGCACGGAAAAGCAAGCTGACATGCACCACAGGAGGAACTAACCGCCCAGAAGCAAGACAATGATGTTGACGATCTGGCTAAGGCGCTCAAGAAGACTGAGATCTGATATGGGTTAGGCGAGTGCAGGATGTGGTGAGCACATAGATCGATATACCCTGATGCACATGGCATTGCCTTTAGAGCAGTGAATATAATAGAAGCATGCATTCCATACACTAAAATCTTGACCTACGCAACGTCTAATTTTGCAAAAACTTGTGACTACAGATTTTCATCACCGTATCTTGAAATCTTCTGCGCGAAGGTATAGGATTGGAAAAAGAAGAAGAAAAAAAACGGAAGATGAAGTTTCAAAGTTCTGTTGCACACATCCTACTGATTGACCAAGCAAAAACCTGGTAACATCCCTCGGTGCTGTTGGAACAGTTCAATCGTCCAGAAAGATATCCGTTGCATGCACATCGCACTCACAGTCCTAGATCCCAACGGACATCCAGTCAAACAACTTGCAACATTCATCTCTCTGTTCGAATCTTCTTTGTTGCGAATCGCAATTGGAGGCTCTAGAACTTTCACAGAGCTCCGAACACCCGGGAATGCCTCCTCCAATCCGAGCAAGAGCTGTGGCCGAAGGTCATAATGACACTGCTTGGTTAGCGCCTGACGAGCGTCCTGTGCTCTGCTCACTAACTAGCTCACTTGCTGGCCTTGGTGGAAAGGATGCTACTGAGTTTTGTTCACAGTGAAAAAGCATGATTGAGAAGCATGTTCGTGGAATTAGTAGGGAGTATAGCTGCTAGTCCCCTGAATTAAGGGAGTACACTTTTGTTAGCAGGTCAGGCGAGACAGTCAGCAGAAGGTGCCAGAAAAATCTGCTGAGACGAGGCTAATCTGAACCTTGGGACAATTGCCAGCGCCCTCACGGATTCACTGGGCCCGGTGATCGAGAAATAGGACACTTGGATAATGGCAGAAAGCATCGTATTGCACCAGTTCCCAAGCCCATAGAGATAGAAAATTAGCCGACTAGCAAGCATCCAGACCTACTCCATCAGACAGCCATCATTCTTGCAGTCTTTCATCCAACCCTCAAACATCTCTTAAGTCCATTCACTACCAACCATATCCGAGTCTGCCGGATAGGAAATGAAGCAAGGATAAACTGCCATTTGGGTGGTTGCCGTTGGAGAGGATATGTTTGTTCGCACAGGTGGAGACTAGAGGAAGTTCAACCCGCACCTGTCCAATCCGTCCTCACATTTCGCCACCGAAAACGCCGAGGAGAGAATACCGAAGAGAGGATGATAATAGAGGGATGAGAATCGTTGAAGAGGAAGCGTCGGGCGCTTAAGCCGAGGGGAAGTCCCCGAAGGTGTTCTCGCCGGAATAGGAAATGTACAAGAACCTGTGATTTTCTCGTTAGTATGCATTCAATGTAGCCCTTTCTTGCGTATTTGCGACTTTGATGGTCCATGGTGTCGACGAGGGGTAGCGGCTAGATAGCAAGATCGCCGCCCCACTCTCGATAAGAGCTATGATGATGGGGGAACGTACCCATCTTCGTCCTTGTGTTCCTCGTAGATGCTGCTCATGAGCGCGGCGGTGGGCGGCAGGACCTCGTCAACGAAGATAAAGATGGCCTTTTCAGGGGAGAGCTTTATGCGCTTGCGGATGACGTAGACGAACTGTCCGACGGTGAGGTCGGCCGGGACGAGGTACTTCTTCTTATCGATGGTCGCGATATCCGACTTCTCGACCTTCTCGCAGATTACTGGAATACGATCCGAGTACTTTTGACGCTGGAGAGGAAACCTATTAGTTGTTTGGTACGGGGGCAACTGGAGGCTGGAGGTGGCAGCCTGCTCAAAGGAAGACTTACGATACGCTCACTCTCGGCACGTCTCTTCTCAAAGGTATGCTCGTCCTTGAACTTGGATCTCATGATTGCAGTTGTGATGGTATGTAGTTTTGGTGTTGTTGTAGGTGTAGGTGGATGGATGGGGTAGATGATGGTATTGTGTTGTCGATGATAAGTAGAGAGCGATCGGTTCCTTTGAGGTTGCGGGACGGCTTCTTGCGAGGTAGCGGGGCAGATGACTGATATCCTCACCGCCTAAGAGACAGTCCGTGCACGTTCGAGTACGGAGTCAGATGACCAAACCCAGAGAATTTGACCGTAGATTCGCGTGACTAAAAGATCAAGTGAGTACCTACCCATGTTTACGTGCCTAGAATAGATATGTTGGTAAAAGTAAGTCAAACGAGAATATCTTCACTAGGAACTCTCTTTACTGGTTGTCTGGATTCATAATTTTTCCTCGAGTTTAGTTGCAGGTACCGGTCTGCCAATGCAAGCCAGCCTCAGTGCCGAGGCGGAGGCAACCTTGCAGCTGCTCGCATACAGAGTACAGACCAGGGAGTTGAGATCCATACCTCTGAGCTACACAGCTGTCGGCCAGCAACATTGACTCAGAATCAACACATTCAGCCCTTCGATTTATCCTCTGCTACTTCCGGCGGTACCTTCGGAGCTCGGTGTACCATATTTACTTTTGTTCTCTCCGGCAGCGCAGCTTTCATGCCTAATGTCTTCCTTCCTCCGGCCATGCACGCGCCTTTCGAGCCTACCCATGTCCCGTCCTCAATTTTTTCAGCATATTCGGCTTCGTCGAACCTTTGCAGATTATTCTAAGCCACCTAGGCCTCCCAAGCCCTACGCAGGAGACACACGAGGTGGTGTTCTGTTTCCAAGAACCAGAATTGCCGTCGGGATCGTGTTCATTGGAACATTGATCTATTCAATGGTAGCTTCCATCCCGTGAAAATATTACTTGGACGGAGTCTAATGGAAGACAGGTGACGGAGGATGTTCAAAAACTCGATGGTCCGACAATTGCGGAGCGGGATGCTCTCGTGAAGCGCGAGTCCGGCGTGAGTGAGCACTCACCTATGCGCCTTCGGATGGAAGAGTTCATCAAAGAACAACAAAAAGAAATTGTCGCAGAGTTGGAGAAAGTTGATGGGAAGAAGTTTCAAGTCGATACCTGGGAGCGACCACATGGCGGTGGAGGAATCTCGAGCGTTCTACAAGATGGAAATGTCTTTGAGAAAGCCGGTGTCAATATCAGCGTTGTCTATGGATCCCTACCCCGGCCGGCTATTGAGAAGATGCGTGTCAATCACAAGGCTATAGGTCCGGACGTTGATTCTTTGGATTTCTTTGCTGCGGGATTGAGCATGGTCCTGCACCCCAAGAACCCTATGGCACCAACAGTCCATTTAAATTACCGATATTTTGAGACTGCCAACGCAGACGGAACTTCAAACGCTTGGTGGTTTGGCGGTGGAACAGATTTGACACCAAGCTACCTCTTCGACGACGACGCCATTCATTTCCACAAGACGATCAAGGAAGCATGCGATAATCATGACAAGGAGTACTATCCTCGCTTCAAGAAGTGGTGTGATCAGTACTTCAGCAATAAGCACCGAAATGAAACTCGTGGCATCGGAGGTATCTTCTTCGACGACTTGGACGAGCAAGAAAAAGATCAAGAAAATACATTCGCGTTTGCGCAGAGCTGTCTGAGAGCATTCCTACCTTCGTACCTCCCGATCATCAACAAGCGTAAAGATATGCCGTATACAGAGAAAGAGAAAGAGTGGCAGCAAATTCGGAGAGGCAGATATGTGGAGTTCAATTTGGTGCATGATAGAGGAACAGCTTTCGGGCTGAACACGCCTAGTGCCAGGGTGGAAAGTATCCTGATGAGCTTACCATTGACCGCTAGCTGGCGGTATATGTACGAGCCAGAGGAGGGCAGTCGCGAGCAGAGGTTGGTGGATGTTCTGAGAAAGCCGCGGGAATGGGTATGATTCAAATAATCATATATTCTGGATGACAAAGTGTAAAATAGATAGCCTAAGCTCTCCATCTTTGATTGTGTGATAGCACTGCAATCTTCGTGTATTTGAGACTTTTCTAGTACTTATTGTGGTAAAAGGGGTATACGCGCCTAAGCGAGCCGCATGTAGTGGGGTCTTTCTAACTTCGGTTCATTTCTATCTTCCCATAAATGTCGAACATAAGCGAGAACAAGTACGAATCGTTACACTGCGAATCTCGAGCTCCCAGTTTCTCCTCTACAGAAACTTACAGCGAGGCTCTCCATCCCATCAACTTCCTCATCTTACCATCACGATATCCCAAAATGACAACCACACCACTCCCAACGCCACGAGCCCTCCTAACCTCGCTCCTTAGAACTCTCACAACTCCCCCTCCAATCCAACAGAACTCCCCTCTCGTCAAGGAACACTGCGAGCCCCTCAGCAATCCCCTCAAACACCTTTCCCCTTCCCAACGTGCCCTCCTCTCAACCATGCACGTGCTCTTCACGCCGCCCATGCTGCTCCAAGCCCTAGACCTCCTGGATCGCAGACTCGTCTTACGCATCGTACAGAAAGAAGAGCCCCAATCGCCCATTCTTCAAGCGAAAGCGGGTACAGTGCAGGAGGAGCACCCGGAAGCGTTGCATCTGAGATCTTCTCCACCGGTACCTGCGCAGCCTGACGACGAGAATGGAAGTGGGTTCAGGGATTCGGCGGCTGGGGATGAGAGGGACTGGAAGGGGAGAGCTGGTTGTGTGTTGTACCAAGTGCGCTCCTCGCAGCCGCCGAAATCGAGGTTTCGCGATGCTAGTACAGGGAGTGCTGGTGGTGGAGGAGGAGGAGGCATGGCGTACATCGTTCGTCTTCAGGCTTGGAACTGTACCTGTGCTGCTTTCACCTTCTCAAGCTTTCCTCCGTCTTCTGTATACCCGCAGAAGAATGCTTGGGAACCGAATGGTGGTGATCAGGATAAGGATGGGGAAGAGGAAGAGGGAGAGGAAGAGGCATTAAAATGGGGTGGGGAAGGAGAAGAGGAATGGGAGTTTGGGGCTCTGAGTAGAGATGGGAAGGATGGTGGACAAGTGCCGGTTTGTAAGCATGTGCTTGCTTGTGTGCTTGGGGAGAGATGGGGTTTGCTTGAGGGGTATGTGAAGGAGAGGGTTGTGAGTAGGGGGGAGATGGCTGCATTGGGTAGCGATGGGTGATTCTAGAACCAATTCAAGTTTTGAAAGAGGATGATTGAATCTCGCGAACTTGCTGTCTGGGCTGGAGTTATGGAGGGCCATGATTCGGCAGTAGGTTTCTTTAAAAAGCTGGATTGGCTCCTCTGATCCAAACGCAAGTGGCAGTAGCTCGGATACAATATGTAGGGGTGTCGAACGAGTAGGCCAAGGTATTATGACCATCGCGTGGCTCCTATCAACTCGCAAGCTACGCATCTATGATACAAGGGCATATCTCTCATCATCTGAAATATGCCAGCCGGCGGCTGTTGCCCCATCCATGAACACCCGAAGAATAAACGCCATCATCATCGTATCATCACTTCTTTTTGTCCTTGTTTTCTTTCTCCTTTTCCACATCCTTGCCTTCCTTCCCATCGCCATTAGTGCCATTCACACCATTGGCCTTCTTGTCTTTCTCGTCCTTGCCCTCGTCCTTCTTACTGTCGTTCTCCTCCTGCTGTTGGCGGTTCTGAATCTTGTTCTCGATTAGGTCGTGGAATGCGGTGATAGCACGAATTAAACTGCTGAGGTAGATGGCCATGAGTTGATCGTTGGTCTTGATACTCATAGCGTGAGCCAACTCGCTGTTGTTCTTGACAGGCGCATCAACGCCGTTGGGAATGCTTGTTGAAGACTTTGGCGTAGAAAGATTGGGCAGGAGGTTGAAAACGTCTTGGAGATTGCCCAGGATGGCGTGGTTGACCGGGAGTGTGCCGTCGAGGACTTTCTGGAGGTACTGGCCAATGTCTCGTAACCGTAGATGCAGGCCTTGCAAAGATTGTAGCTGGTTCGTGATCCTCGTTGACAGGGTTCCAACTGCCACATCCCGAATGTCTCTCAGTAGATGCTCAACTCCAATCTCCTCCGCTTCCTCGGCTTCAATGAAAGACGGTGTGTGTACGAAGGTCTTCGATGTGGTGGTTCCGTCCTGGGCGTGTCAGTAATCGCCGCAATTGATCGACCGGATACCTTACGTCCTTGATCTCCTCCACCGCAAAGTATGCATCCGTTGGTACACCAGCCTCCTTTGGTTGAACATCGATGATAACTAGCAAGGGATTTGGTGTATATCTCTTGAAAAGCTCATTAATCTCCAAATCGGAGGCTCTCAGCTTCGGTCCCGAGTGATACCATCCGACCAGCTTCTCCGTAGCATTGATCTTCTTGAACATGTCCGTCATGGACTCCACGTAGTTGTGATCCAGAAACCAAACAGACGGGTCCTTGTCGTCTTCCTCGAATGGCACTATATGGGCACAAATTCAGCATCAAATTCTAGCAGACGCGAAACTTGAGATGCTAGAGCAGACAATACCAGCAAAGCTATTCGACACGCGAACGTTCTTTCCATCGTTTTGTCCTAGCAGAACTCCGACAACTCGCTTTTTCGAGGATTTAGCTTGCCGGCCAAAGTGATCTGCTACTGAAAGGAGAACGAGTGGAGCGACGGAAACATTCCTCGAGACCAGAGACAGGGTTTCCGCAGTGGTAGCGGGCATGATGGGCGCAGGAGAATATCGCGTTTGTTGTCTGTCTTGTATGGTGCTGTGAGGAAGCTCCAGAAGTCAGTTGTTGAGCCCGTCCCCGTCAGGCTGGTAGGAGCAACGCGGCTGCATAGCTCCCAGACCCGCTTTTTTGCAGACCATCACGTGGAAGGTGCTTCGTAGAGGTCAGACAAAAGCTGCAATTACTACTAATTTATTTCTTAGGCAACTGTGTAACTTATCACTTTTACAATCTGAAGTTCTTGTTGACAAGATCGATTTTCTTGTATTTGCTCCGAAGTGGACATGATCCGAATCTGACATCCGGCCTACAGGACGCTTTCCCCGAGCTCGGGAGCCGAGCCCATCAACCGACCGAGCTTAAGATACTCGCTCTTAGCAAGACCTTGAAGCTGGCGCAACTCATTCAATACTCCTCCCTCTCTGCGTAACGCTTCCCAATAAGAGTTTCAACCACCCTCCGCGCTTTGTCAAGGCTTCCTCCCACATTATCCACAGCAATGGCACCAATTGGCGACGATACTGTGCAGTCGCTGCACGAGCTGGTCAACAAGCTCGAGTTGCGGGTGAAGGAGCTCGAGGACAAGCTGAGCCATGCAGGCGGCAGCAAGCCTACAGCAACCGAGAGCGTGAGAATGATCTTGATGGGGCCTCCTGGCGCAGGTATGTATGGAGAGAAGCCACGGCTCCAATCCGCCTTACCACTCACCCAACTTCGGTGCACCGGCTAATGTGCTTTTCACAGGCAAGGGCACCCAAGCACCCAAGATCAAGGAGAAGTTCAGCTGCTGCCATTTGGTAGGCCTACACACCATTTACCCATAGTACGAGATGATGGCACTGCTAATTCTCTCCGAAGGCTACCGGAGACATGCTTCGATCACAAGTCGCGAAAAAGACACCTCTGGGAAAGGAGGCAAAGAAGATCATGGACCAAGGTGGACTTGTCAGCGATGAGATTGTTATCGGTATGATCAAGGCAGAGCTCGACACCAACCAGGAGTGCAAAGGAGGGTAAGTCCAGAGTCCAATGTTTGATGGGTGCCCAATTCCAGAGACTAATTGGAGAACAGGTTTATTCTCGATGGTTTCCCACGAACAGTGGTACAAGCTGAGCGCCTGGACCGTATGCTCGAGTCGCGAAACGAGAAGCTGCAACACGCCGTTGAGCTGCAAATCGACGACAGCCTTCTTGTGGCCCGGATCACTGGTCGCTTGGTACACCCAGCCTCAGGTCGCTCATATCACAAGATCTTCAACCCGCCCAAGGATGATATGAAGGATGATATTACGGGTGAGCCCTTGGTCCAAAGATCGGACGACAATGCCGATGCTCTTAAGAAGCGACTAGTCACCTACCATCAACAAACCTCCCCAGTCGTTGGCTACTACCAAAAGAGCAAGATCTGGAAAGCCATCGACGCCAGCCAGGAACCCGGTCAAGTTTGGAAAAGTCTCCTTGGAGTCTTCGACGCGGAAAAGAAGGCCAAGAGCGGTGGCCTGCTCAGCAAGATTACCGGAAACTGAGACAGGCAGTGGGCGGACGAGGGCAGCGCGATGTAATGAGACCAGATGAGATCAGATGAGAGTTGCATAGATTCCATAAAAGTTGCTGGTGATTCTCCCCCTGGGTGGGGATATACGTTCGCATCACTCGGAGCAACGGGCGGAAAAGTGCACGAACTGTACGATGATGCTTTTGTATGTAGCATTAGACTCTTTTCTTGTTCGTGTGACGAAATCAAGAGAACGTTAATGTGCAGGATCTGGAATTTCTGGCTCCCAGGTTCTTGGGGACAGTCGGTACCTCCATGCTGCGACTTGTGTTCCGTGAAGACCGTGGCGACTGGCCGTTCCAGGATTTTGCGGACATGTCGTCGGCCGTTCCAACCGACGGTGATGGCAGTGATGCGGGTGGCCTCGGGAAAGTCACACGAGCCTGTGTTTACGATACACTCTACTGTTCCACGCAACCCGTGGATCTGGACCGGCGGTCCTGCAGCAATGGGACGAGTCTCGGGCATATAAGTTGTTACTGTCGATCATTTTTTCCTAGAATCAAGCTCGTCGGACATTCTTGACCCAAGTTCTCTTTGCGTACATTGTCGAGTGGCTTCCAGATAACTATCTACAACTTGTGAAGTCTTTTTGCCAGGACCTTTTATATACCTCCTCTCATTCAATCCTTTGATCATGTCCTCCCAGCCGAAGTCCAATGACAGACGATCTAGCAGCATCATCCACGGTGTGCCTATGATTGTATTTAACCAGCAGCTGCTTGAAGAAGTTGGGAAGTTCTCCGAGACCAAAGATCGTAGTCCACATCATGAAGTTCAATCCAGTGAGGGCAGGCAGTCTCGACGAGTATGCGTTCTCTGTCTCCCAGCTGCTAGGAAGCAACTGGCACGTATGGGTGAGTGCTGATCAAAGATAGAGCCACCACAGAGCAGTGTCCCTAGGCGTCCCGACGGGTATTCATGACGCTGCCACTGTAGCTCGAGCCCAGAAAGTGCGGAGGAGCACGACTGAACACCAGGTACGTTTCATCTGCCAGAAAGTCGACTTGCCGATTCTACTGTTGAAAACCCACTCCGCCTCTTCCCTCCACGTTCTCCTATCGTGTTCAACAGCTCCACTGACACATACCTCTACAGTCGTCTAGACGTCCAACAGTCTATATCCGTCCCGTCGGGCCTGAACTCGTTTCCATTAGCCAACCCTCTTGCACGGGTCTTCCTCCGGCTTGGTCATCTGTTCATGACCGCTTCATCGCCTACCTGGCTACCCACGCTCCGCTGGACAAGAACGGGAAGGTTCAGCGGAAGGAGGAAAGTCGAGAGCGGTGGAAGGTTGAGGACATTTCAAGGCTGGTGATGGATCGGTTTGAGGAGTTGGATGGTTGTGTAAGTGTTCTGACCTTTCCTTCTCTTTTTTTTTGTCATCTTCTGGTCGCGGCCCTTCTTTGCTGCTCAAGTGGGACCAAAGGCTTCATGAGTTGGCATTCTGGCAGCCCTTGCTGTTGGATTCGCTCAGGACAGAGGGAGAGTTCTAGCATCTGTAAGAGAACTGGACGAGTTTCCCCCTCTCCCACCGCTCTCCGTCGATCGCAGCAGGAGGAAGGCCTCCACGATGACAGGATTGTCACTCAGCCAGTAGCGCATTGAAAGCTTTTGCCAAGATCAATCAATTTTCGATCTCAGCTGCGGACTTTCACTCTCAATCATGCGTCCATCTACTTCCAATCTCCTGCAGCATATCATCATCCCACCGGGGCCCGATTCCCGAGACAGACAGACAGACAGACAGATAGATGACTTTTTTCGAAGCCCAAACTTATGAGTGCCAACGCAAAAGCTGATTTCAACCAACTTTCCTAGATAAAAATCGGCATGATAGAGAACCGACTTGCACACCTCGACCAAGCAGGTGACAACGACTACTTCAAGATGCCGTACGGGGCATACAAATACGAGAAATGGGGGCGGGGTATATGACAGGAAAGACGTCTGTCTGGAGCTGGACGCAGATCACAGCAAATTGGAGATGTAAGCTTATCAGGGGAGGTACATCTGCTTCTACCGACTTGCAGGTTCGCTATAACAGACCACACTCACTAGACTCAATGGTGGGTTGTCCGAACGGCGGGATGAGAAGTCTTCCTTGCACCCGAAAGATAAAAGTAATAGCAATGCGAGGTGTAACTCAGGACTTTGGTGCAGCTCTTCTCGCGACCTTTGCTAGTACCGAGAAGGGGAAAATCACCACGCATCATAAACTTTTGCAATTGATAAGCGAGGAGACCCTGAGGAAAAGAGCACAGCAGGAGGGAAGCATCGAAAATGGGACATGAAAACGGAAACCGAATTGAAAGCCACAGTAGTCAGGACCCAGAGTCCTATCACTCACTCACCTACGAATACTCTCTTTGAGCCGGCCCGAGCTCCTCCTCCTCCTCCCCCCCCCTTTCATCAAAGCACCACCAGCAGCATCCCTCCTTCACTCCCCTCGAGTCTCCAACAACCCCCCCCTCGCCCAAAACCCACACTCCAATCAGCCTTCTCTGACCGGGAGCGCAATCCGCCTCCTCGCAAGCATCATAAGAAACCCCTCGTCCGTCTCCGACTCCGAAAAGATTCGTTCGGCCATCATTTCCGAGTGCTTCTGTAGACGTGCAACAAAAGTTTTCCACGATGAGGAGGAGGAATGAAACGGTCGAGTCATGCGTGAATTCGGGGTTGGTGATTGGTGAACTGGAGGGCGTCTTGGATGGAGAGGAGTTTGGAGGGGAGGGTGGCGAGAGGAGGGCTGCCCGGCTCCGAGATGGTGGTGATGTGGGGCGGGGGGTGGATTTGCTATTATACCATGTTACTATATTATGTTAATCAATGTGCTGTCTGTTCCTCGGAGAAGGGACGCGGGAAGCATGTAGTTGGGTGTGTTGCAATTCACAACATCGTTTCGAAGGTGGTCAAGGGACCAGTCAGGACGTAGATGGGTTTGGTGAGGGCTGACATTCATCAATAACCACATTGACGTTCAAGAGCACAGTACTGTGTGTTGGGTTTGAACAACCACACTCATAGGGATAGGTATATACATACACACCGACCCAAAGAAGACGTGAAACAATTCGTATATGGAGTGTAGTCGAAAAAGGGGGTATACGCAAGCACACAAAAATCCGAACAAGCCTATCCATCTATTCATCCCTGATAGGACGTTCAACCCTACGGCCCTTTTCCACCACCCACGAAGCGAACCTACCAAAAGGCTCGACACACTATCCACAATTCCTTGAGAAGCTTCTCCCAATGCAGGCATAAATACTAATCCACCAAGCCCTGTCTAACATTCAATCTCCGGCTCGCATCGACGATCGATCCTAGCGTCTGGTCGCGGCATTCACCATTTGCCGCTGCTTGTTCAGCCAGCTCTTGGGCGCTTCTTGCCTCCGCTGCAGCACAACATGGTTGCTCTGGAGTCGGCTGGTAAGGTCATACCAGGCCGTGGCGATGAGCGTGTTCTCTCGCGTCAGGTTCTTGATCATCGAGTCTTCCGCCGCCTACATATATTGTCAGCCTCAAAGTTTCCAAATTCCAAGTTTTCAAGTCCAACCAAAGCACGGTCAGAGACGAAGCCAGGCACAATTGCCAATCGAGAGCGGTGTTATTTCTCTCATTGAGAGTACCTGCAACAGGAAAGAGGATAGTATATGTTACCTTTTGCGCTTCTGGGGTATTCTCCTGCGCCGTTTTGAGCATTCGTTGCAGGTCTTGGATAAGTGCATCCTGTTTTTGGATTTGCTGTGAATTGTGTCAGTACTCCTCGGGGTGAAAGTTCCCGCGTAGCAGATTCGACAAGACTTACCTCTCTCTGCTTTGCCTCTGCTTCGATGATGGCTTGAGCGTGACTTTCATCAGTGGTTCCGGATCCGCCTCGACCTGCTGCTAGATCTTTCCCAAGTCTATCTTTAGACAATAGTGCATCTATGAGTTGGCTCTTTTGTTCATCAAAATCAGTTGAAAGTGCCTTGTGTTTGTTCTGAAGCACAAGCAAGTCATTCTCGAAAGAAGCGGTTATAAGGTCATGAGCGGCCTTGAGATTATTAATCGCTTCAATCTCCTCCTGGTCTACAGCGGCCACTAGAGAAGTGTTAGATCTGAGTTCAAAGAGAGACTTGAAGGAGAGACTTACAGTCGGTCTTGGTAGAAACGAGATCACGATCACGGCTCGAGAGTTCAGCTTCTAATTCGGCAAGTTTCGCTTTGGCTGCAGTAAGCTCTTGATTTGCTTCGAGATACAATTTTCTCGTATGTAAGATGGCTTCTTCCCTGTAAAAATTCATCAGTAAGTCTCGCACCAGTGACCAGCCGCAGGACTCCACATGGAAATCTGACATACTTTTCGTTTGCAGATTCACTGATCATTGCACTTAGTTGCTCTTGTCCAAGGGTGTGTTTCTCAGTCAGTTCACGTAAATTCTCCTGGAGCCTCTTCTTGACCCTCTCGGATTCTTCGAGGTCCAGCTGAAGAGCGGCACTGGTCGTGCCAGCTGTGTTGCTCTTGAGCAGTTGGTTCTCGACCTTCAGTCGCGAGATCTCGAGCATGAGACTAGGCGTGGCGTCTTCGCTTCGTTCGAGCTCATCTTCCAAACTCAATCCGGCCGGCTTCGACGTTGGGGAATCCGGAGAGATTGGACCTGCTGAGTTAGTTTTGATCTGCTCTTGCAACTGATCAATGAACTTCTCATCGTGTTGCTGCCTCGCAGTCATGACCTGGAGCTGGTCGTCTCGCAGTCGTAGTTGTTCTTCGATGTGCTTCTTCTGAGTTGACAGTTCAACGTATGTCAACTCGTACGAATGAAATCTTTGCTGGTATTCTTTCAGAGTCGCCTTAATCTTGGTGTTCTCATCATAAACCCTATCGAAATCCTTCTGATTCCCCTGAAGAGTATCCAGCCGGTCGCGCAAGGTGGTGTTCTCCTTCTCCACAACGGATAATTGTTCTACCTTTTTCTGGTAATGTTCCACGGTATTCGCTTTCCTGGAGAGTGCGATGTTTGCGGTCTTGAGTTCCTTCACTTCGTCCTCGACTTCAACAAGCCGCTGGGCTGCAGGCCGTAGATTCGACAGTTCTTTAACCAATTTTTCCTTGGCGATCCGGTCAGACTCTATTTGGTTTTCCTGACTAGCGATAAGATCCTCTTGCTCTTGGATCCGGATGTTGAGACTTCTGATATAATCGCTCTGGTCACCATCGTCCGAGTTCTCGTAGCGTTTCAATTTGTTATCTTGCTTGCTACTGTGCTCGAGTAGTTCGTCGTGATTCTGCTGTAATCGTTCAAATCTTGATATAAAGTCCGCGTGCTTTTTCTTCAACATCTCATGATCATGTGCCAAAGCTGCAAACTTGCCTTCGAGAGCGAGGCCAGGATCGTCAGCCAGGGTCGGAGGAGCTTTGCTGCTGACCGGAGTATCCTCGACTGCGTCTATCTACAAAACTGATCAGTCTTGGTACCATCTACCCAGAGGTACACCCTACCTGCTTTATTATTCCGGCAATCGCGGTTTGTGTAGGTGCGTCTAGAGAAGTCGTAATGATCGAAACGTATTTCTCGGTGTTCGTGCCTCGTATAGCAGCCATCAGAAACATAGTGAGGAACTGACCACAATCGTTAACCAAGTCCAGCTGGCTAGCAGCGGGTTTCCTCACCTTGAATGTCTCTTCTGCGTCCTCATGCTCCGCTATAGCATTCAGGTCTACCGGGTTCGCCGTTATGAATGCCTCCATGCCTTCGCAAGTATTGTTGATGTAGCGGAGCAGCGACCGGTGGATTGCCTCCAAGCTCTTTTTCCGGCCCAGCCACTTCGACGTCGTGGCATTTTTCTCGAGGTTTCGAACGGCGTACGTTGAATCGATATCCTCTGCGTTGGCCAGGAGTCAGTTCCTGGACAGCCCAAGAAAGAAGGAAACATTCCATCCTGCACATACCGAGCATCTTAGCAAAGACGGCTCCATCTGTCAAGTCCGGCACAGTCGCAATACGAGCATTGAGCGGGAAGGTGTTTGCCTGGGCAATCAAGTTAGCAGCTATCCAGGGCCTCAGACCAGATGGAACCCGAACCCATTCCAGCAAAGCCAGCTCTGTTGCCCGAGTGTACGGCATTGTTATTGTCGAGGGCGTTGTCCGGCGTCGCAACTGATCGAGTATCTGGTACTATTCATGCGCAGAGAAGTGTTGTTGTAGGCGGAGAACTATTTGAATTGGTGGGTACGATTTGAGGCTTGTTTGACAGAGGCTTATCTGACATCTTGGTTGGCCAGAAGTTTTAGGCGCTCAACTATGCCATTTCTGAAGTTTCATATTCATTCACGACAAAATTTACTGTTCAAGCAGCTTCCCGGCTCAGGAACGCGACGTCGAAGACTTCGTACTTCGCTCCGTAGACGGAATTATCAATGCTTGGCATGGCTCGGAGCCCCTATATCACAATGATATCGGCAGAACAGTTTGACCCAACTTCGGGGACCTGTAGATGAAAGAGTATGATTTGATTGGCGTCCATTATCATTTTACCCACTTAGGAGAAGCTATATTGGATTCCATGCGAGTGAGTATATGGAAATCGTCACACACACTTGGGTAAGCTGTCTGCAAGCCCAATGGTGTATTTGCCTAGTGGAAAATCCACGTCGTAACATTCCCCAACTTATACACAAACATTCATATTATTTAATGTACTTTTTGACAATTTGACAGCAGCCGCGGCTGATCAATCAAGCCGCAATATTCTCTTTTTCCTGACTGGGTAATACTCCGTAGGGCACGCTGTAGGGAAAATCTACTCTGCTCGAAGCCCTAGACTATCATTTGAAGAGATAGATTCAGTATTTGCCAGACCAGATAGCAGAGCAAAGACTTCCCTGGACCAGCTAAGAAGATAGTGGACAAAGTGCCACGCCTCGAAAAAAAATTATGGATATCACGTAGGAGACCAGATTTCCGCACTTTGACTCCGGACTGGCAGCTTTTGGAAAACAACAATTCCATCGAGTACATTCTTCCTGCCGGCACGTCCAAGCATGCGCCTGCGCCTGCGCCGGTCCCTCCGCTTCCGTATATCCTTTGCGCCTTGGTGATCTAAGATCCTGATATCCATTTGTTCAATGTCACGCCATGTCCCAGTATACAATTTATATCTCCATGCCCTTCTCCTCATAGTGCATTGTTGACAGAGACCATCTGGTCCTCCTCCACAGTAGCAAGGTATTCGGTGTTCAAAGTCGACACGGTCTCGAGGGCCTTTGCCGGTGCATTGGCGGCGAACCCCCTGGACTGGCATCAGTTCCACCGAGAGAGAAGCGGGAAATAGTGGCTTACTTGATCAACTGGTACTCATGCGTGATGATTCCACCAGCAGTCTTGATAGCGTTCTTTGCTTGATTCAAGACGCTATCTGGGGTATTATCGGGGTAAGAGACAATAACGGATTTCAGCGGTGAGGTGACGGCAGCGGCCACCGCCACGAGGGCAAGGGTCGAGAATATGGCGAGCCTCATAGCTTTGGTATTCGGGTTCGTGGTGTGTTGGTAAGTACTACTTGGAGGGTTCGGGATTGGTGGTGTGAAGTTGTAACGAAGCCCAGTGGACTCCGTAGTCAGTGATGCTGTTGATCGAGTGATTTAGGGGTACCTGGACGCCCCACACTTAGCCGTCTTGGCGTGCTACCTGCCTTAGGTAAGCTCCAGATCTCCACTCTTTGTCTGAAGCTTCGTCGTCGCGACCTCAAGACCATTTGATTCCAACGAACAACCACAACCACGTCGCCGCTCGCCAAAACCGCTTCCATCCACGAACAAGCATAATTCTTTTCCTCCTTTCATTTCGCGAGCTGAGTCATCAGGGATATTGGGGGGCTGCGAAGACGGTTGGGCACGAGGCTTTTCGTTTGACAAACCGAGACCTGGAGAGCGGGCAGAAGAGGTGGAGGGCTGGGGGTGGCAGTCATCAAAAATACACACTTCTAATTCTCACTGAGAGTTCAATATCTGCATGGATCTAGTTAGCTGTTCTTGAAAGGAAAGGAGCTTTCGTTTGGCAGATTCACCCTAGTCGGGGTGACTCGCCTGGAACCATTTCTTCGTTCTGATATCCCCACGCTCTTGAATTTCCTTTGGCTCTCCTCCACCCTCACCGCCATCATGTCTTATGGAGGACAGTCTGATGAGATCGCAGAGTCGTTTGCCGATGCTCTGAAAGATCTCGGCATTAACTCTCGCTATGAAATCAGCAATCTAACAGGTAGGTGATGTCCAACCTGACTCCCACCGCGGAAACTTCTCTGCTCCTCGCAATACTTTTCCTGAGCTGCAGCGCTGACCATTCCATAGTAATCGCAAAGGCAATTTACTCCAAGATATCCTATGCACTAGCTTGCCTGTCTAATATTGCTCTCTAGGAAAATACCGATCATTCCCTCACCATATCGGAGGCTCTGAAGACTCACATCAAACAGGTAGACCTGCTCACCCCGCTCACCAATTCCTTTTGTCTCCCTGCAGTCTCTGACATATAACAGGTCGCTCCTCCCAAAAAGCTTCCTGCTTTCTATGTGCTTGATTCCATTGTCAAGAATGTCGGTACGCCTTATACCCTCTTCTTTGGCCGACAGCTCTACCAGACGTTCATGGAAGCATATGCCCTGGTAGACAACAATACGAGGGCAAAAATGGTCGAAATGTTGAAGACATGGAAGGAGCCAGTGCCGGGGTCAATGGACACACGACCGGTCTTTCCCCCTGAAGTCACAAGACCGATTGAAAATGCTCTCATCAAGGCTAGGACTTCGTTTTTGCAAGCTCACCAAGAGCGGACTCAATCTAGTATGTCACGAGGTCGCCCGGGTCCATCGCCTGCCCCTTACCGCGAGACACCGACTCCTCCAAACGCATACCGGCAAACACCACCTCAACAAGCACCCGGATACCAACCCCCGGCATACCAAGGCCCAGGCTATCAAGCGCCTGGATATCAGAACCCAGGATACCCACCCCAAGGTCAACAAATCTCTGTCCAACAATCCGGGTATCCATCAGGCTATCCCCAACAGCAGTACGGCCAACCAACCAATGGATCACAGTATAATCAGTCAAGCGGGCAGCAATACGGTCAAATAAATGTACAGCCGTACAGTCAGCCAAACGGCCAGCAGCAATATTCATTGCCTCAAGTAGATCTTAGCCTCAACCACAAATCGGCCAAGCTAACGAAGCCACAGCGACCCCCAAGCCAACAATACACTCAGCCACCACCTGCACAAACAGGATACTGGCAACAACAGCAACAGCCCGTAACTCAGAATTATGGCGCATCTGGAAATGGGATAGAAGATTTGAACAATGATATTGAAAAGCTCATATCCTCAGCAAGAGCTGAATGGCCTCAGAACCCAAACGATACTAGTGTACAAACGAAACTGAAAGCCCTGCTTGATCTACAAACCATCTTGCAAAGCCAAAAGCTGCCACCTGACCAAATATTACTAATTAAAGACCAAGTTGCGCAGCTGTCCAGACCCTCTCAGCCTGCACCCCAAATTCAATCTCCAATTCCACCTCCCCCACCCGTAGTAGCTGTTCAGCCTCCCGCTCAACAACCTACGCTGAGCTCGATTCTTGGTCCTGGTGCTCTAGCCGCCTTGTTAGCCAGACAGGCAGCGACCTCTCAAGCGCCCACTCAAGCCGCGCCTCTTCAATCACCATCACAGGCCCAGGTCCAGCCTGCTTACCAGCCTCCTCCTTCTGCAGGCCCAACGCCTACACCCCTTGACTCAAACTCTTTACTTGAAAAACTAAGAGCTGCTGGAATGTTGTCGGGCCCTGCACAAACACCACCTTCTGCCTTTGTTCCCTCGGGATTTCCTTCAGCTTTTGTCAATACCCCTCCCAACCAAGCCCGTACGCCTCTAGCAGCCATTCCCAATGATGTTGTTCTTAAGGCTGCTTCTTTGAAGATGTAAGCATCCAGCCTCTTTTATTGTGCTAATGTTCTAATACGGTTAGTCCACGACCTCACCTAATTGTTAGCCTCTACGCAGGGCTTGGTGCTCCCTGTACACAATGTGGCAGGCGATTCCAGTCCGATGTAGAGGGCAAGAAGAAGAAAGCCGCTCATATGGATTGGCACTTTCACGTTAGACAACGACTGGAAGAGGCAGAATCTCGAGGCCAACACAGAAGTTGGTATGTGGACGAATTGGTAAGGCCTCCCAGTTTACATGGTCGAATCTCTCTGACGAAGCCAAGGACTGGATCAAATCCCGTGAAGTAGAGGGCGAGACTGGTATCATCTCATCTGAGCCCTCGCTGGGAGTCAACGCCGCAGCTGCCGCCGCCACCAAACTCTCACACATCCCTGTCCCAGACGATCCCGTTCTCGCCGCAAGCCGCTGCCCTATCTGCCAGGAAAAATTCGAGATGAAGTGGTTGGACGAGCTGCAGGAGTTCGTTTGGATGGATGCGAAATGGGTTGGAGCGAGAATATTCCATGCCAGTTGCGACGAAGAGGCCGCAAAGGATGTCACTACTCAGAATAAGCGAGGAATTACCCCTGAGCCAGTCTTGGGGAAGCGGAAGGCTGATGTAAGATTTACCCTTGTGAACTCAACAAACAGTGACTAATGTGGATTCAGGACGACCAAATGTCATTCAGAACAAAGATCAAGACTGAGACATAGGCGCTCAGTGGTGACAGGGTTAGATAATTGCATACGTGTCGATGCTTGCATAGTCACGGGGAGGTACCACATTCGACCTTTCAGGAGCATAGCACTGGAGTTGGTACAGGGAGCTCAGCTAGATACCAAGACATTCAATGAGAGAACAATTAAACAGCAGCTTCTTCCTACTTTATGTCATATTTTCTCCATTGTCTTTTCCTCCATCTCTTCAAAATCATGTTGCCCCTGATTAGCTTCCACAGAGGCCCCCATGAGGCGGTCCTGTACTTGTGGCGCCTCCAACTGACTCCGTCTTGACGAATTCAGCAAGTAAATTGCTCAGAACTGATGCCAGTATTCATGAAATTGGAACGATATTGATGTTCAAGTTTTCGCGAGCTTACTGGACGCGCTTGAGGCGTATGGTTTCGCTTCACCAAAGTCAAATTGCCCTTGATACGTGGCTTACCTCATCTTGACCTCTAGTAGAGCTTGGGCGTCTTTTTGGCAACGACTTGGATCTCAATCAGGCTGGAAGTTGTGCAGCTTTATGCTGCGGCAATTCAAAATATCTCAACTTCCCCACGAATACGATTTAAGAACTCGTATGTGACAGCGATAAGCATTTCAATTTATATTCTCCGTAAACCGGTTGGTAATCAGGGGAGGGGCACGATAGATGCTAATGTCTAATGGAAATGTAGACGCAAATCTGTCTTCAAGCTGGACCGCGGTTGATCAACTCAAGTGAGCTTGTAGCCTCCTGTCCGACTGGGAAAGAACTGAATGGGATCATAAGCTTCTTGAATGCTCTTCAAGCGCTGGTATGTATCATCTCCATAGCCTCGGAAGACTTGCTGGTCAGCCATGGCATCGTTCATAAAAACTGCAGGCTTGTATCCATCCGCAGGCGTCCCGGCTCGGAAATTCGACCCGAATGCGTCTGGGTACGCTGCTTTGGTATACGATACAATGTTGTCGGTCAGATCTGTGGCTATGCGATATGCATCTGCGTCTCCCATCTTCGTGAGCCAGGCGCAAGTCACACCCATCCACTGGTGGTCGCCGTGGTCAGGAGACAAGCCGAGGAGGTTTCCCAGCGGATTCACTCGTGCTGATGCTACTGCTACGGCGACTGGCTTCGGCTGGTAGATGAAGGTGAAGACAAAGCCGGGCTGGACAGGTTCCTGCGAAGTGTACGAGATGAAATTGTTGAAGTTTGCATTGATGAGGTCAGTGCCGTTCCGACCAGGAAGATTGGGAATTGTGGCACCCTACTGGAAATCAGCTAGAGTATTATCAACCTCAGGACGATGTTCACTTACTCGGAAAATGTACCGAAAGCCGTAAATGCTGCCAAACTGCGCATTGGCTATGAGCTGGCTCAACTGTCAGTCAGAGGGCTGAAATATATCTGAGATGGCCATACCAGCGCACTATATGTCTGCGTTTTTGCGTCGTTTCTTACTGTAGGGAGACCATCAAACCCGGCAAAGATCTCGGCTGGTACATCTGGACCATCGTAGAAAAGGAAGACGGCAAAGAATTGCTCCAGGTTGCCGATCAGTGTCTGGAAGGTAACGATGATGGCAGCCTTTGGGTCAGAAAAATTCTCGGTGAAGTTTTGGGTGGCGCTCAGTATTTGAGGTGCGTAAGCTCGACTGTAAATCCGCACTCCTCCCCACACCTAAATGAGTATATTAGCGATGTCAATGCTGTCCAGAGAGGCGTTGGCCTTACTAGACCGATGGGAACAGTGTTGACAGTGAACCTGGTCACGATCCCTGGGAAGCGGTCAGGAGCTTCCTCTTAATACTCGTCTACTCTTACCAAACTGGTTGCCGCCTCCTTTCAGAGCCCAGAACAAATCGGGATTCGTAGATGGATTTGCGTTGACGATTGTGCTATTGGAAAGGACGACCTCGTAATTTTTTACTGGGAAAGTGTCAGCGTTAACAGAGCAGCAGAGAGCACGGCTTACCATTATCACACGCCATCCCATGCTGGGCGCTCAGGAAGCTCATCCCACAACCTAGGAGCAGCCCTCCAACGCCAACGTCGCCTGGAATGTTCAGCAGCTAGTCCCTCAGTCGCCGGTCACCCAGCCTGGCTTACCCAATCGTCCTCCAACGACAGCAACATTGTAAGGCTCTAAAGCTGTCATGGCATCCATCCATCTGGCTCCTGGTCATCAGAATATTGCCGTAAGCATATTTCTCCTGCCCATATCTTCTGGGCGTGACTGACTTGTCTTGGGAGTATACTCGAGGATCTGACTTACCTGGGCTCAGATAAGCTGTCTTCCGATCGGAGGATAGAGTCGTTGAATTCAGCATTGCCATCGATATCAGTACCCCGCCATCGGTGCTCGAAAAGCCAACGTTGGCGTTATGCCCGCCGCTTTTGGTAGCAAATGGAACATCTGGATGTCTCAGCAGGACCTGGACAGTAGCCGATACATCTTGGGCGCTTGTTGGAAACACGACGCAGGCCGGCGTGAAATCGGCGTTGGCACTCGACCAGTAGTGGAACTTGGCGTATAGGTACGTTTGGGTAAACAAAGCAAGCGGCCAGCTCTGGATGTTGACATGTGTCTTGGTAGTCAGTTCCCTGCAGCAGTCCCTGGCTCTTTGTAGAGGGACAGTACGCTGACTCGATGCCGTGAGGGGGCTTGAGAGAAAGACGGAGAGCACAATGAGCTTCGTCGAGAGGTGCATGCTGAGTTTGAGAGGACGTTGAGGTCGATGGGCCGGAGGAGGAGATGGGGAGAAGGGGAGAGATTGACTTGAACTTTGAGGGCAGGTTTCCTTCCATTCTCGTAGGCCTCGTGCACATTGCACGGGTCTAGGATTCTAACTCTGAAGCCAGTTGACCAGGCCGTTCGACGAAAAATGTCCAGGACGGAGGGAATGGTTTTCCACTTCAAGTTCAAGGGCGTTCCTGCACGTCAGATTTCTACAACATAAGCAGGGTCGCCGACCCGGTGATGGTTGGATAGCACCAAGATATGGTCATCGATTTTGTCTCACTCTGCCTGGGGGAAAGATCATAATTTACTGCAGCTGGATCACATAACCGGTGACCACACTTATTCTCATGCACGTGGTTCTCATAGAACTCGCCAATGTCAGCTGAAAGTCAACAAATCAAGGTAGTCCACGGATTTGGATTGACTCAAGACACGGACCCGTACCCGTACCCGAAACGGTTCGAAAGCAGAATGCCACATTTCATTATTTTCAGCAGACCGCCAACTACTTTTTGCTCCAAGGGAAGTGGGATGTTTCCTTGCAATTAAACCCTGGCGTGAAATTCCAACGCGCATCTCTGCAAAAGTTTGTGCGACAGTGACCACCATTTAAACTCGGTGAACCACGTCCCCAGCACTTTGTCACGAAACCCCCTTGGCCAAAGTTTTTATCGACTTCAGCTTTGCCTGACTGGCTTGACCGAACTTAGAGAATCCTACCGGCAGCAAGAAGGCCTTGATTGTTTGTGGTCTCACGCGAGGTTCTTATTGACACTTTAGCGAGCTTGCTAGCTCGGCGACAAGCGCTGCCCGATAATTTCGCGCCTTCCCCTTATGCATAACTCTTCTGCTATAATCCCACATCGATCGACAAGGCTATACACCACTGTTTCTCCCTTGCGCGTTCTACGATAGATTTCAGGTCGTGCTCGGACCGTATCTGCTCCTACAAAGGCTTTCCTCAAGCCCTCGACCAATTCGAAAAGAATGGCAAGATCCGGAATTTGGCGGATAGTTATATATTCGGCTAGAATGGCAAGATCCAGACCGTGATTGGGTTCGACTTAGAGTATGAGTCCAAGGCGGCTTCATTCTCAATGTGGATGCCAGCGACAAAAGGTGGACAAGGAAGGAGGTGAATGCCTAATTTCGAAAGCAATTGTGCATCAACAAGTACACCACACATCTAGAGTCGTTTATCCATGTAACTGGATAATAGATAACAGATAAAATTCCGTACTAGCAACGGCGAAACGATTTCCTCCCCCCAACAGCTCTCTCAGGATAGATACCTTTACGGAATTCTGCACCCGAGGAAAAACTGAGACAGGGCGCCACCGCATGGATCCATAGTCCTTTCTACCCAGCCACTGCGTGCCTTCCGTGAAAAAAAAGGCAGAGAAGCGCAATGCCGAGAGAGCAAAGCAGACGATAACGAGCAAGCCTCCGACCCGAAGTGTTCGTCTCTGAAGAAGCCATTCAGAGAGAAGCCGCAGGAAGAACAACTGGACGCCAGAGATGAGCCGAGATTCTAACTTGGAATAGGATCTATCGGCAGACGGGGATGACGAGGACCAAGATCCCAAGCCCTGAAAGTGGTGCACGAATGTCTGGTAGAGCCGCGACTGACCGAAGCCGCGTGAGAGTTCGTCGGCCGGGGCAAGACCGCCACCATCGCTGCCGATCACGTCGTGGTTGGTTAATAGGGTCGCGACGGACAATGTCTGCTTCGCGGGCGCACGACTGGCAGCTTTCCTCAAGGCGATTACGGCCGCACAGAAGCCCGAGCCACCTGGAAGCGTGGGATCCATGGAAGGCATCTCCAAGGTAGTTGGATACGGTGCCGCGGCGTGCCGAACGAGTCCGTTCTGGCTGCCGCTGGTCTCGGAGGCTGGATTGACGGGGTACGAGTGCTACTCTGGGATGGCCTAGGATGCTGGATGCTTGCTAGGAGTCTTTACAGCAGGTATTATTATCAAGTGGAGGAGTCTGGGTTGGAGCCGTCATTGTACCATGGTGCTCACCTACTAGCGCGATTAAAATATTGTATTTATAGTCTCTACACGCTCGCGTGCTCTCTAACCTCTCACTTCATCTTAGTGATCGAAACGGTAAGGCTAAACTAGATACTACGACTACTTGACTCGATACTTACCGTCCTTTGCATCTGCATCGATCGCTAAGCATGACCATCTTCGAGATGCATGCCACTGTTGGACACGAGGCAGATGACAGGTGAGAGCGAACGAGTACCAGTCCATATTCCCTATGAAATCGAGTCTTGAGTTCTCCCTCCATAAATCATCGGAACTTTGCTGCTTTCCCACAACGTCATCACTGCTCATCATCTGGAATTGGCATATGGTCAACGACCGTCAAGCCGCAATCGTCGTCAGAGTCGTTATCGATCATTTGGGAGCCGCTGCTATCAGATGCGTACTCCCTATGATCGTGTTGGCGGTCGGTGAAGTCAACCCCCGAGAGACCTTGTGTGGTGTCCACTACGCCACGGCCACGCTCACGACCAGCCTCGATATATTGCTCTTGCTCTTGCTGATTGAGATTGACTTGAGAGATTCCGGGAGGGTGGGTTTGCGCTGGGGAGAGCTGGGGAGGCTCGCTTCCCCTCTCCACGTTGGGGTTCGTGATGTCCAGATCAGCAAGTCCCATGGTCAGATCCTCGAGCCCGTGACGAATACTACTTCCACCAACCCTTTCCGTGTCCAGTGCTCTACTCGACCTTGGATCGAATCCCTGTGCTGGATCTCGTCTGTCTCTATCTGCGTAACTTGTCCCCGCCTCGAGTTCGGCAGTTGGCGGCTCGCTGTCCATTAGACAAAGCAGATCTGTCTCATACCCTCCTTCTCCTTTTTGGTCGCCATCCTGCACATTCAGTACCCCCATCTCAACATCTAACAGTTGGATCTCTGCGACGTCGCCCTCGATGACTGTATCCTCGACAAGGATCCCTTCGAAGCCGCTCTTCTTCAGAATCTTACCGATCAGTTCTTATGCCACATATCATATCAGCTAGTAATATTGCTCCGCGAATGTTTCCATATGTGGGGGAGAACTCTCGTTCGCTTACCTGGATATCGCAAGTGGCCGCTGACTTCCTTGCTGAGGTTCAAATTGTCGACGCCTTCGACGTCGCCAATATCCTGTAGACCGGCAATGCCGAACTGGATGCTCGTCGCTCGGTAGAGGAAAGCGAGGATATAGTCGTTCTCGGAGTATACGTTGATGAGCTTGCCAGAGACGACACTACGCATCACACGCCAGCTGTTACTACTGCTCGGCACCGGACTCCCGATAAAGACCACATCCTCAATCAGGCCAAAAGCTTTCCTGTCGGCCAGACTTCTCAAACACGAATATATGACCCTGGAGCCCAGAGAGTAGCCGACGAGTGTCACGGGCCGTTCCCCTTGAGCCTTGTTGATGAGCGCGTCGGCGAGTACCTCCCCAGCTTTCTCACTTCTGCTCCTTGCTACGGCAAAAGGGTTGTCGATGCTAGTCGCCATCTTCAGGAGATAGACAGGCCAAAGAGCCGACCAGAGCGTGGCCAGGACCGTCCGTTTCAGAATGTCCATCTTTATGTAAGACCATGCGTAGGAGGAGACCATGTCGTCCAAGCTCGTGCCCAACGCGATCAAGGCTTCCATCTCATACTGGAGGGCAAAAACCTCGCTTTCTCTCCCGAGGACTCTCCAGGGTTTGAGGACGTCGTCTCTGTTGTTGAGCCATCCGTTGATGCCGATTGTGACGCGAAGTCTCCTCCCTTCCGTCTGTGCCTCCTCTTTCGTCCCGTGCTCACCCCATTCAGAAGCAAGAGGCAGGAACCTGAAGTCCGATACCTCTTTCGCGTAAGCGTCAACCATCTCGCCAGTCATCTTGCCCCCAAATGCGCCGAACAAGCTCCCAACCAAAGCCCCATTCATAGCAAAAATCCCGAAGAACGAGGCAACACCACCCAGCCCAACGCCCCCCATGATACCGCCGATGGCCCCGGCTACAGCCGGAGCTGCCAGCCCACCGGTGATGCCGATGACCGCGGCTCCAGCAATGGACGCCAAGCCAACCTTCCATCTCCTCGACGAAGCGTTTTCAGCTCGTCGCTTCTGCGTCTCCGCATCAGCTGTCAGGGCTTTGGAGGCCAGCAGAAGCGTCTGTGCAACCTCCGTCTCCTCCTTCATAAGGACGCTCAGCGGTAACGCTAACGCGCTGGTGAGATAGCACAGCAACACCCTCGAGTGTGCCGAGTAATGGCCCAGACTCAGCAAGAGCAGAACCACGCAGCTGACAACACAAACCCTCTCCTCCTTCGAAATGGTGCCCAGTCGAGTCGGGACTGGGTGATATCGGGACTGCAACCGTAGAACGTCCTGCGCCTCTTTCCTTCTTCTTGCGTCAGCCTCGACTTCTGCCGCTACGTCTTTGACGCCAGGAGGCGGAGACACCACAGATGAATGCGGAGTTGGTGCAGGGTTTCTCGCTGCCAGCCAGTAGTCCCGTCTCCTCTGCTCCGACCTGGCATCTTCCGGCCCACCAGAAGCCTTCCCGAGCACCGCTCCTACTTCCCGAGCCCAATTGTCCAAGTACGAGAGAGCATCCCTCTGGAGTTCCCGCAGCTTAGGAGTCGACAACGGTTTCTCTAAGCAAGCCGCTAGACGTTTCTGGCGCGCTTCGGCTCCTGGATCGGGGGATGGAGAGGGCTGTGGTGATGTCGATGTGTTATCGCTAGAGCTGCTTCTGCTGTTGCCTCCGAGGAAAAGGGGCGCTGCTGATTCGGCCTGCGGGCCATTGAATGAAGCTTCTATCTTGGAGCGCATATGTGAGATGATCTTGTCTATGAGAGTAGACAGCGCACGGCGACGGGCGAGGTTTAGGACTAGCTTCAGGTCTTTCGGGTCAGATGCGTTTGGCGCCATCTCGGTTGATTTATGTTGATTGAGACTCTCTGGAGGACGGTCGGGTTTTTGGAGAACCAAATCGGTAATCAGAAAGCCGGAGAAGAGTGGAATGACGAGGTCAGTTATTCAAGAGCTGGATAGATGGTTGAAGCACGTCATACTGGTAATCATCGTACGGGCTGTCGCCTGAATACCAGCGCGAAGGGTTGTTAAGAATCGAGACGGCTGTGTAGCGGCTAGAGGCATACAAATCAATTGTGGGATTAAGATAAAATGCCCAACGTTTTAAAACTCAGGTTCGTGCCATTAATCCAGTCCCGTCTAGAGGTGTGATCTATTCGTCTGCTTGAGATATGAGGGCGGGATACTTAGTGCTGTGCCGCAATGTCCCAGATGCCAAGCCGAAAGATGTGCCCTGACTTGTAGACTTTTCATGTCTAGAATTTGGATTGAGAGCTGATCAGTCTGTGAATTATGGATTCCGTCCCTGATCTCTTTTGGTTTGAGGTCTCGCATACGGATGTAACAATCAAAGCAGTTTAATACCGGTCACGTGGGATAGACAGGCGCTTTTGGTAGGGCTGACTTGAAATCTCAATGACTTTTGAGGCGCCCTGGCTTGACCGGAGTCTTACACAGGTGTCCTGGCCGAATCTCTGAGTGAGTTCGAGTGAGTCGACTGGAGTCGACGTAATTCCATCATATCTCATCCATGTCCTCCAAATCATCGATCATAGGAAACGCTCCAACCTCGACCCGCTCAGGTCTTACGAAGACTCCGAACTTGGGATCGCCATCCTTTCCCCAGTATCTCTTACCCTTCAAGCTCCCATCATTCTTACCAACCGGCTCATCCAACCTCACACCGATCCACTTGCCTGGGCCTCCTGGAATCTCTTCCACATCGCCGACGTACATGACCTCGCCTCTCTTGGAATCATCCTCCCCGACCCTACATCTCTTGCCAACTTCAATTCCTCTGTTCTTGATCTCTGCATCGATGGCCTGGAGTTTTGCCTGCTCGAGAGAAGGGGCAGAAGGATCGAAACGGCCAAGTTTGTTGGCTTTCTTCCACGCTAGGACACTGTCGGTCTTCTGCTCATATTCATCAGGTGACATCTCATACTTGGCGACCATGCTAGCGTCCGTGTAGTTTGGACGCATTCCAGGAGGCCGGATATCAGTAACCTGTGAGATGTGAGGTTAGCTTGATAAAGCCAAATTTGGGATGAAGCAAGATCTGGTTTCTGCAAACTCGGTAGATGCATGTAGAGAAATGGTCATCGGTGCTTGCTAGCAGTACTCGCTGTACGATTGGCAAGTGGCAGAAGCCGCTAGAAGGTTATGACTTCCTGAAGTTACTTCATCTTGCACGAAAGAGGTGATCAGACATTTCTGGCAATGTCTTACAGAGTAGAGACCGAACCGGATTCGCAACAGACGAACATCAGCAACAATGCCACTTTTGCGATTGGCGGCTCTGGAGATAACCTTGTTTGACTCTCCGCGAACCTGCACCTTGGCTGGCTCAACGGTCCCACAAGGATAAGGGTCGACCCTAGAATAAGGCTCTTGCCGGACCTGCCGGAGTATGGATAATGCCCGAGAGTATCACCCATGTTCCATAAGGCGCGTCGGAGCCTCGGAGGGGGGTGATCAGAAACCTCAAACTCACGTGGATCTCGGCATATGGTGCCAAAGGCCAGTTTCCCAGCTGCGTGTGCTCTTCATCAGCAGCCTCGAGGAGGATCGGTTGCCGGCCTCCCAGCCTCAAAGTGAGCTTCTGTGAGAGAGGAGGGATGCCGGTGACTGGCTCCAGCTTGGCCTTGAGTTGCCCGACGGTCCATGATGGGGTGATGCGACGCTCTGAAGACGAGTTCTCCGAGGTGATCTGGAGGGGAATATCCCCTGCGGTTTGCAAGTTGCTCATCTGGACGATCGATGGGATCGCACGTTGCAGAAGGGGTCTGGACTCTGATGTGGCTGTCAGCCGAGGCAACAATATAGCCGCTGACCAAGGTTTATACCACGAAAGACCGTCGGGGTGTAGGGGTGTGAGTCGTGCTTTTGATGCGTCTTGAGTCAGTCTGTGCTTCTCTGCTGCTGATTTGAAACGCCAGAATCGGGGAATTCTAAATCGAGACAGTCTGCGGAACGCCCTGCACACGAGTCACGGCGAGGTGGGGGCAATGGAGAAGGTGGTGGTGGGTAGTAAGTACGTACAGTAGTAAGTGGTGGTGGGTTCGTCGCGAAGTTGTCGAAGTGCCGGCATGAACGTCCTGCAAAGGTGGAGAAGAGGATGATGGAGCCCCATCAGATTAATTGCAAGGAAGAACGATGACTTTTTCTATCACTGTCACGAACCACAAATTTCCTGCATCTCTTAAGTACGCTTTGGAAGTATGAGCTATTACCCAGTTTACTTGATCCTAGGTAGTTGAACTCTCCAATCCAATCAAGCTGGTGGTTGGGTATTAGCGTTGAGTTTTAATAGTTGTAAGAGGGAATCGCATGAAAGCAGTATCGGCTACTAGTCAGGGAATCTTCGGCCACACTATTTACATTGAATTCAACCAAGGAAAACACCCTGACCTGGCTGCGCCAGGTCGGCACCACCGACCCGGGACAAGTCGGCAACATCAAAACACTTACTAAGATACCGGTACAACTACCAATATAGACAATTAAAAAAATATATATCTCAATGCCCAGAAGACATTACTATACAGACCGGTACTTTTAGATATACAGTTGCATTCATCTGTTGCGAGTCAATATATTCAAAAGTAGTGAAAATATAGTTCAAAGCTGTCCCGAATAATTACCTACGTAGTAAATTTTACCTGCCCGCCTCAAAGATCTCCACTACCACAACCTTGATTCAAGAAAACGTCACAAATATCGATACGAAAACATCGAATCTATCATATTACCCGACTACGTAATTATCAAAAAGCAGTTGGTGGTGATACACATATACTATTAATGGATTTCGCTCCAAGTCCAATTTTCGTGCTCCTCTCTTATTCAGCACGGCAATCTTGACATACCGGTACAGTACCAAAATCAATAATCATCGTAAGCTATGATACCTTTCCTTCCCATCTGACTCGTACCAACGTTACCGTTAAGCTTAAAATCGCTCTGGTAAATGAACGGTGATCAGAGCTGCCGGTGGAGTTCTCAATGACTCGCCGTACTCGAGCGATTCTGATGAGGTCGAGGCTTTGAACACGCTTTGTCTCTCAGGCACGGACCAGTAAAGTCGAGAAGTACAACCAGAGTACCGGTACTACGTTGCAGGCGTAAGGTGTCGTTACACCCTTGAGGGTCGGGCACCCAAGGGGTTTAAAGTAGAGATTTAAACTTTTGAGGTACTCTCAAGGGTGTAACAATTACGCCTGGGACCTAACTAAGTAGTATAGTACCTAGTACCTAGTACATGGAAAGTACCATTTTTACTACTTTCACCCAGCACAACAATAGAGCAACAACTTACAATCAAAATTGGATTGGTTGAGTGTCTGTCATATTGAAACTCGTTACGGTGCATCTTTTCGTGTAAAAGTATTCACGATATTGATCGGTGGGTGATCTTATATCGAGTTTAGAAGGACAGACAAGAATTGTCGTCCCGGGGCCGGTCGCTACGTAGTCCGGGTCGGTGGTGCCGACGTGGCGCAAGACCGGTCGGGAATTTTTTCATTGCTTTTCAAGGTGGCCGACGATTACGGATAGAGAACCCGATCGACTCCCATCCATTCCGTCCTATTCCGTCCTATTCTTAGTAGTACTTTTGTGCTAAGTACGCTCACCTTTTCAATAGTCAATTAAAGGAAGGAGATTACAATGTTATTGATATCAACTTGGTGAAATGAATGAAATGAATATGGGTGGTTCAAAGAGATATAAGTCCCTATTGGCACTTGCTTCGGAATAGCATTATCACCTTCCTTCCTGTCACCTTCCTCGCTATCATCTTCATTATCACTTGCAAGCATATTCCTTTTTCGTCAGCTCGCACTATCAAGAGACTATAATATAAACCTTCAATACAGGTATCTCTAAAATGATACTATCATCGCAGTTTACCTGCTCGATCTTATTAGCTTTGAGCTTTCTTGTCAATAGAGCTTATGGGGAAAGGGGAATTATCGGTTATCGAACCGTTCAAGAAGTAAGTTTCACTTGATATGTATACCGGTATAATATATACATAAAGTATAAGCTTATATTAATCACGCAAAGTATAGTGGGAAGCTAAGCAGATGAATGCATACCAAAAGCCTTTCAGAGATCGAGTATTCGATAAGGATAACGCGCAACAAAATCAATTAGGGCATGGCTTGTATTTGAGTAAGTTGTAAATCGTTACCTCCTCATCCTATTCACGCGGAGTTTAACAGATTCACAATAGTAAACGAACCTGCTAGCTGGAACGTGCCGGAATGGTTGACCTCGTGGTATTGTGTTGTCGAAGCGGACATGGACAAGTTTGCTGAGACCAGCAAAATCTGGATCCCAGGACAGTACACGGGGCTGGACAAGCACGGTAGGAAGAGGTCCAAGCCGACGCAACTATGGAACTGGAGGGCCGATAACGAAAACACCATCCTCGAGTATATCAGGGTGATGGGCCAGCCGAACCCGAAGAAAGCGTTACGCTTCGCACGCGTTCCAGCGGCGCCGGGGAAACTGCAGGTGGTGATTCCATCGGACATGGTCAACAGAAATACGTTGGATTTCTCGGCTCAATGCTGGGAAACCAAAGAAGAGCTATTTGACTATTCGAGCGCCACTGTTGATTGGATGAATTGGGAGATCGCTGGGGATCCTGACGTGGCGGATCCTGAACCGAGCGATTCCTCCGACAAAAAGGAAGAGGCGAGCTGGTATCAGGGGTGGTTGGATTGCATCAGAGGCTCAGGCACATGCACTTGGTAAATTTTTTCCGGGCGGATGTCCCTTTTTGGTAACATGTACGTACGGAGCTTACGGAGCTTACGGAGCTTACGGAGTAAAGGATGGTGCTATTCATAGAGTTCAATTTTCCTAATCACTGAATAAATACCCTTGTCGATCACGGGATCACAATATAGTACCGGTACCGGTATACGTACAGTACGGAGCGGAGTAGAACGAATCCTTCTAGCCACAGCACCAGCCACACCTGTACAGATCAGATCTTTGGATCGTGATAGCGATATGCAACAGAGCGATCGCATGGTGTCTCATCTAATCCTCTTCTCTTTTTGTCAAATCACCATAATTGCTTGCTTGCTTGCTTGCTTGCCTACCTGCTTCCCTTTTACTTGTTTTCTTCCTCTCGCTTTCCCTCGCTTGTTTGGCACCTCCAGTCCGTCCGATATCTGGCGTCGCTCTTCAACCGTGGTGAATATGATAATAAAAATAAGTATCCCAAAAGTGATGACAAGGCTCCTGACTATATGGTTCACTCGCAGCAGCCCGGTCTCATGATCCGGCGCTCTGACTACTTGCCAGGAGGAAGTCATTATTGGTCAATCGCCGTTTGCAGGTTTGCAGATAGATCAAATCAATTGGCTCTTTGTAAGCGGGACTCGACAGTATGAATATCCAGGGGGCCGGCTGGGCTGGGCTGGGCTGGGCTGGGCTGGGCTGGCCGGCCAAGTTGACCAAGCTAGAAGTACGGTAGCTGACCAGACCCAGGATGGATGGAGAACCTCGAAGACAGCCCGCTCCGTATGCGGGTGTGGACCTCTTTGTCTTTGCTCAGGCCATGTGGTGTCCCGAGGACCTTGCACTTTGCACCGCTCAGCCGCTATACGGAGTACGGAGCTAACCTAGCAACTTGCAAGAGTCCAGAGACCCTCCCATCTTCGCATCTTCCCATCTTCTTCTCAACACTCCAGAGTCTCAAAAGTCTCACCGCTCAAACTTCATGGGTCTTCAGACGCCTCTCGTTCCCTTTTCAGCCCTGCAACCTCGGCCGGTCACGCGACTTGCATATCGAGGAGATGCGCTTCGCCGTGGGAAATCCCCCCGCCCACTACCCAGTGGGGAGTTGTCCGCCAACGGTTTAGGATAAATAACTTGGCTGTTGTGGATATGTATGGACTCGTGCGTGGAGCAGAGCTGGTCGTACGGCACAACAATTTCATGTCATGAACTTTCCGTACAGTCGATCTGGTTCTGTCGGAAGTTGACTCCATCTATCGAAAAGTCCTCAGGTCCTCCCGCCGTCCAGCTGCCGAGGTGAGATGAGCTTCTGGAAGACTGCGCGGCGGCAAGAAAACATCCGGATGACTGCGGCGACATCGAAGGCATAAATTCGGCAAAAGTGCCGCAGTACACTTGTTCTGCAGCTAGAAGTAGAAGTAGAAGCACTAGACCCTTTGATGTGTTGGATATTGACCGTCCTGTGTTCCGGGAAGCGCTTGCATGGTGCAAATATCCACACAATACCAACAACGACAACAAGAGCAATTGTCATGATCCCTCGGACAAACGGAGGAGCCTCTCCCTAACGGCGTCCTGCAGGTCGAGTCGGGTCCGCACCTCGTGGCTGTCAAGTGCCATGAGTTTGGCTTGCTGCTGGCGACGGTAAGGAGAACAATAGGTACTTAGTGACAATGCAGACGCGGCTGGCTAATGCACGGCATAGTTCAAGTCGGTCAAGTCAAGGCGCAGGGCTCTGGCTGGATGGAAGGCTGAAGCCCGTGCAGCAGCGACTCGTTCCCGAAGCTGTAATGATAATAATAATGATAATAATAGTAGGTATTTCGGTACAGTAAAAGAAGTCCGGAGTAAGTAAGTACCTAGGTACCGACCAGCCAGGAACCCAGATCGTCTGATGCAGTGGACACTTCGACGGCGATCCCATAAGGACAAAACCAAAAACTCCCGCGGCTCGTGATATTCCTCTTCCTCTTCCTGTTCCTCTTCCTGTTCCTCTTCCTATTCAGTGTTCACCGCTGCCGTGATATTTTCCCTCGGGAGTCGAGCGGTAGATAGAGTTTAGAGTTTAGTACCGACTCCCGGACGTCCCAGACATCTCTATTCTTGTCCTCTTGTTTCTATAGACGCGTTCCGCGCAGAAAATATTCGCTAAGCCGTGATTTTACGGAACGATGGGTGCCTATCTTTCTTTCCATCCTCCTTTCTCATGGATTCCTTGTTGGGGGAGCTTTTCGAGAAGGTCTCCTCTCCCGCGTTCCCAGCCAGCCAGCCAGCCAGTCAGTTAGCCACGATTCTCACATTCCATCGAAGCCATCGGCCAGCAGCGGTCACCAGCGCTGGCGTCTTCACACCGCTATCTCCAGATGTAAAGTCCCGCTGGAGGCAGGAGACAAAGAGATTGATCGATTGTGCCCTTTGTGTGGGCCTGAGCCGATCCCTGGCAAACGGAGAATTGTTGTCCCTCGGGCCTCTAGGCCTCTGCGCCTCTCCCTTTTGAGTCGCTTGCCAGCGCAGCATCGTTGCTTTTTTTTGGAGGGGAGGGGAGGGGCCGCTGAGGGCACCGGCACTGAACAATCATGACTTAGGTATGCTTGTCCTGTCCTGTCATATTCGGAGACACGGTCAAGATACGGGTACGGGTACGGGTATAGTATATTTATTTGCAAGCCAGGCAGGCTGTCAGCAAGGCGATCATGGTTCATGGCCCTCGCGACGCTGCAAGCCATGGAGATCATACCCTGCTTGATCCCTGGAGCGCTGGAGAGCGCTGGAGCCCAGAGCCAAAGAGCCCCGAGATGGAGAGGCCTTGTCCTTGTTGCTTGTGTTGACCGCCAGTTCGTACGTACGGACGGACGGACTGACTGACTGACTGATTGACTGATCGTACTTAACCAAGCCAGATCTGATGCGATGATGTGTTTGTGCTGGTCACGCTGCAAATCTGGAATCGCAAATGTGGATGGCGCTGGGGCTGATCCATGAATGAATACCACGGCCACGGGTGGGGTTGGGATTGGGGTTGACAAGCTTCGTCCTAAGTCAGAGCAATGGCAACAATCGGAAGCGCTAAATACAGAGATACCGAGTACAATGCAACAACAGATGTCGGTGATGTTGACAATGCGCACAGACGTTGGCCCGAAACGGTTCGAGGGCTGGTACAGGCGAAGGAAGTCTGGGATTCGGATTTATACACTTTGTTTCAACGGCATCTCGGCTAGGTTTCAAGCATCATTTCCTGTGCCACTCACTCACTGCCATTCCGTAGGGAGGGCCGAGTAGGTACTGTACATCTGTACATTCATCGATTCATGGATTCATGGATTCATTGATTCATACATTCATACATTCATTTGATCTTCTCGAAACTACACTACTCTTCTCTGTTCTACTCTTCTTTACTCTCTACTCAACTAGTACTAAGTACTGTAGCGAGCAAGCAAGCGAACAAGCAAGCGAGTAAGCAAGCGAGCAAGCAAGCGAGTAAGCATCCATGACCCAGGTACATAACGCGCCTGTTCATGCATGAATTCGTGGCCGCCATGCCCTACTACCCTATGATATACTGTATCGACTATAGGCCCCTACCCTACCCTTACAGTAGTAGCAGCAGCACATCTCTTCTACGCTAATCGATCCCTGCTCTGCCTCTTCCCCCCCTCCCCAACCCAATTGACCCCTTCCATGATGGGTACCCATTCCATCTGCACCGCGCATCTTCCCGACTGTACGTATTATACCTCGCAAGCATGTTCCGCCTTGAAGATCTTCAGTTCGAACAAGTTCCTTGTCTATACAAGCAGCAGCACAGCAAGCACAAGTCAACAAGTCCAATCCCGTCCTGTCCAGCACAGCTCAGCTTGACGTGTTATCCCGCTGGCGCTGGTCTCGTCTCATTTTGTACCATTGACTACGAGCCACGATTCCGTTCTTTGGAGGGGGAAAAAAAAAAGGAAAACGGCCCTGAAATAGGAACGCAGTCCTCGTCGGAAGTAGCTCGTCTCAAAATTGATCAATCCTCTCTGCCCGGCCGAATGCCCTGATCCATCAGGCCTGCAGAAGTTCCGTTGTGGTTTCACATCACTGATCGTTATCCCATCTGTCGGGACCTTCTCTCCGCATTATTTCTTGCTTTTGGCACCTTCTGGTCAACATCACGGAAGAACTACTGGCAGTCAGCCCCCCAACACACTCGTTCAGGACGTCTGGACTTTGCGATCGACCAAGTCTCGTCTTACAACAAAAATCAGATAGAAAATCCCGACGAACTTTTTCCCCCCATTCCTTTTCCCCCCAAGCACTTCTTGCATGTAAAATCGTCCAGCCAAACGGCACTCGGTCACTCAACACCGTCACCGTGGATATCTCCCTCCTCCTCAAGGCTCCGGATTCCAATGAGTCTCCGTCATCCTCGTCGTCGACGCAGAGACACCATACGCGATCGACATCCGTACCGTCGAGCCGTGGACAGCCGGAGCCGAATTCATCATCCTATGCCCTCGCTAACACGTCCGCCGCCGCGGGCGCTGGGGGGAAGCGTAGCATGCCTCCCCACCCAGCAGAGTCCCCGGCCAAGAAGCAGAGTAAATGGTCGCCCGAGGAGGATGCTCTGATCATTGACCTGAGAGGGGGAGGCATGAAATGGGAGGACATCTCCAAGAGACTGCCGGGACGAAGTGCCATCAGCTGCCGCCTCCACTACCAGAACTACCTGGAGCGGAGAAGCGAGTGGGACGAAGAGCGCAAGAACAAGCTCGCGAGACTCTACGAGAGGTAGTTATCCCCCCATCTGATCATTGAATATATCACGATCACCACAGATCTCTCTAACACATACCTCGCTAGATTCAAGCCAGAGATGTGGTCCAAGGTAGCCGAGGAGATGGCTGTCCCGTGGCGCGCAGCGGAAGCGATGCACTGGCAACTCGGAGAAGCAGATATGGCACGGCGCGCCGGCGTGATCCCGTTCTCGCTGTCGAGCGTCTCGACAGACGTACCACCAGCACCAGCACCGTCACTGGGACACCGCTCTTCGCCTTCGCGAGGCCACCGGTACGGCCAGTCCCAGTCGAACATCATCATGGGCAGCGGGCCTGGGCCAGTGCTGCAGCAAGGACCGCCACTGCCACCATCAGGCCGCTACAGCCGGCATGCACACTCCCACAGCACGTCCAGCTCGAAAGGGCACGGAGGCGGATCGGCGCGGACCATCGCGGCGCGGAGAGAGAGCACGCCGCGGTCCGTCCCGCCCGCGAGTCCGAGCGATGGGTTGGCGTTGGCGGCCATCGGAGGTGGAGGCATAGGGGGAGGGGGCATGGGCAGCAGAGGCGGTCTGATGCTCCCGAGTGTAGCGGAGATGACGACGGGCATGAGTCCGTACAGCACGCCGGCGTACGCCATGTCGATGTCGATGCCGATCCCTGCGATGGCGGGCGGCGGCTATCCCAGTCCGGGACCGGGACCGATGCTGCCCTCCATAGGCATGATGGGTGGGAATCTGCCGGACGGGAAGAGGAGAGCCAGCCCTGACAATATGGGACCGCGGGAGACGAGTCGGCGGAGGCAGTGAAGTCGGTGGAGGCAGCGAAGTGAATCTGATGCTTTTTCCTTGTTGTTGTTGGAGACTTGAGGGACGGACAGGCTTGGGAGCTGGATCGGATACCGGATCGGATCGCATTGCATTGCATTGTATGGCATTGATACGGAGGCGTTGCGAGGAGTGCTTGCTTGAACGACGATATGACCTGACGGCTTGGGATAGAAGGAGGATTGCGAGATCAGATCAGATCAGATCAGATCAGAGGCGGGCCAAAAAATCCGAAAGCATAGCGTGGCACAACGTACGGCATGATGAAAAATCTCTTATCTTAATGACCTGCATCTCACTGCTTTTGGGTTTGTTCTTCTTGTTCCGCTTTTTTTCTTCTTCTTGGGGGGTTTTTTTTTTGCTTCTTTCCTCTTTCTTTTTTCTTTTCTTTTTTTGAGCGGGTTCTTCAAACAACTGATGTCTGGCGTCACGGTGTCTTCCTCCCTTCTTCTAGACCAATCATGTATTAGCGTGTTGTTGTTACGGAGTATTGTGCTGTGTGTTGTTGTACGTAACTGTAAAATCCAAACAACAAAAAGCAATCTTTATTTTGCTAGCTGGCCTCCCACCTCTCGAGCCGGGGAGAGCAGCTCACGCTTCCCTTTCCTCCCTTCGTTACTGTCTGTCTACTTCGTCTGTAGGTCGTCGATCCGCTCAAGACCCATAAGCAAGGAGAGAAACCCAGCTAAGCCATGGCCGTATTCCACCGCAACCAGGCTTTGCTTTTTGTCCGAAGAGAGGGCGGCAGCACCAGCGTCAACAGCTCATTGATCATGTGCAATCCACACACCCTCCTCCAACGGTTTCTTCACTCCCTAAACGCCCTTCTGACAGATAGCCCACCAGTTATCCTTCTCATACCCAGCTTCCAACACCTCTCCCCCCACACTCGCAATATCGTCCTCCAGCTCCCCCTTCCGGTACAGATGGTAGTACCGCTGAAACGTCTGCTCGGGCTCAGCCCCCTCGGCCTTCTTTTTCCCACTCTTCAACACCCACGGAACCATGACATCCTGCTCATGTCCCACATCCCACCCCCGCCGACTACCCCCCTGCTCCAGCGCCCAGACGTACACCAACGCCTTACCGCCCTCCTTCAGGGTATCCAGGATACACTTCACGGCTTCTCTCCGCCTCTCGGGCGTGGACAGGTGATGCACGACTGCTATACAGATTGCGAAATCGAATCTGGCATTTTGATGCGGTAAGAACAGCGAGTCTGCGACGACGACCGAGTGAGGTTCGTGCTGCGTAGCGATCTTGACCAGGTTTGAAGAGCGGTCCGAGCCGATGATAAAGATGTCTTTGTTGACGGCCAGGTACTTGCCGTTGCCGCAGCCGATATCGAGGCCGATGGAGCCGGGCAGGAGAGACTGGAGGAATGATTCGACGATGGGCCAGGGCTTGTAGCGTGTAGAGGAGAAGTGCGAGGCGATCTGTTCGTATACCTGGTGGACGTGCTGTTCTTCGTATGATTCTGGGACGATGGCGATAGTCTCGCTGGGGGGACACGAGTTTGCTGCACTGCCTGTTTCCGTCGGTATGGAGCCCGATTTGTTTGTTCCCCGACCAGGTTTGACGATGTCTTCACTCAGGGGCTCGCTTATATTTGTGAGTGGTTGTTCTGGTCGTGTGACTTGGATAGCTTGGCTGCCAGCAATCTCAATAGCTCGCTGTTGCCCATTGGCTATAAACGTATGTGACTGCTCGTTCACTCCATCTTCGGCCGCCATGTCAATCATCGTTACAACTCCTTTCTCCTATCTTTCTGCCCGGGTTAAGGATTGAGATGTCGTCTCCGGACCAGACCTCTGATGCTTTGACAGCTTCACGCTCCACTGGGTGTTGCTGATGGAGAGCTTGGTGGTTATTCCTTTCTCAAACCTTTCTCCGAGGTGTGTGTATCTTGATGAGCGTGAATCTGTTCGTTCCTTGCCCACCACCCTTCCCTATTCGCTTATTCCTCCCGGAACCTTCCAGGCTGGGTACTTGAGGACTTCTCCGGATGAGAAAGGCCCAAAGTCTACAGAGACGGTACCAACAACAGCGTACGGAGACGGACGTGTATGCCTGCTCAATAGCTTGCCTGCCCTACCCGCTCTTCCGGCTATGGGTTTGGTATATCTATGAATCGTCGCTCGTGCAAGCTGTTTTCCACCCTGCGGGATTCTGGATTGCACAGCACAGGGCAACGGGCACACAGCAGCTCGGATCAGTCACGCTGTGAGAGATGTCGTCAAAATAAGCTCTTGTTGTTGTGCAGAGAGACATGCAGTGCTTCCCGAGACAGTGTCGGTGTCTACCTATACTCTGTAACGAGAAAACATTGAAATGCGAAAATAAACGAACGTGCCAAGGTTTGGCACCTACGCTCACTCCCAGCCACAGTCATAGCCACAGCCATACTCCGGAGGTAATAAAGTTAAAGCTAAAGCTAAAAGCTAACACTAACACTAACACTAACACTAATACTAACACTAAAGCCACACCCGCTATCGCCACAGCTTAAGCGAGACCAGCCGATAAAATTAGGACGTCGAGAACCTCACACTGCATGCAAATTTGTTATCCCGATCATGACCGCTCATCCACCACTCTGACGGAGCACTCCAAATCATATTACTGATCAATCGTAACTCTTGAATTCTCTCAAAGACGACAACGCTGGAGAGGGTCCCATTGCCCGTGGTATCACACCGCCCAAAAAATTGAAATTCGAGATCTACAGAAAATTAAACGGTTCGGCTGGACTTCGCTCAGATGCATATGCTATATAAACTGCCAAACGGAGAAATCTTATTGCGTGTGCTTCAAAGGGGGTACTCGCTCATTCTGATATATATACCGTGGTGTGCTCCAATATCTGTTGCGGGTCAAAGTCTAGGATCGGATACGGCTGCAGCTGGTCACCCGTTTCCTGTTCCCGTTTGGAAAAAATCGAGGTGAATACATACACAGCTAGCCGAGCAGTGCCATCCATTGCCTCATCGGGGCTATTGTTCTCGGCGTAAGTACCTCAAGCATCGACAATGCTAACACGCCCCGTCGTCGCCGACGCGTAGATCCACAACGCGCCTCACAATCCTCCAGAAACCTATTGTCCTCGCCGGCGCTAGAGCACCGCGAAGGTATTGTCAACCGCGGACAATCATTACAGTACATTGCTATTGTCGCTTAGCGCCCTCGCCATCATGGCTCGCGAATACTTAAACCCTCGATTCCCCCAAAGCTTCAAGAAACTTTCTCTCTCAGCATCACCAAGCAAGAAGCAGCACCCTATTCGCAGCAACTTCTTCGACCACAAAACATCTTCTTCACTTTCAACACCCTTTAGTAACAAGCTTCCACTAAGATCTCGTCCAATAATGTCGTCCTCTGCCGGCTCGAGACGCCAGCAGCGCGATCCCGCTGTAGCAGGTATGGCAACTGTTTGTCTGGCTATTTTCTATATACTGACACTGCACCAGCCCCTCCTCCACCCCCCGCGGCTCCCGTCCAGGTCCTCACGGGCCTTGAAGAGTGTGGAATCCTTGACAGCATGTCAAAGAAGCGTACTCGGTCCCAGAGTACCCCGAGTGACGAGGCGCGATACGCGAAGCGTGTCAAGATAACCACCATCTCAGCAAACGATGACATGGTTACTAATAACCGTGTCATCACGCGGTACTTTGGCCACGGCCTGATCAGGAAGCAGAAGAGAGCTGTAAGCTACATGTTCTTACTAGCATTTGGAACCTTCAACTGACCTTGGTAGCTGGCGAGAATGAGACGTGACTCGGCGCGTATGCCAGCTTCCTCCCAGAGAGGCATGGCCAACCCTGGTGTTCTCTGCTACCGCTTGAGTCTACTCCAGTCCCTGCTACACCTCCCAGGTTTCGTCAACTGGGTCATGGACTTCTTGGGTCCCGAGCAGTGCGTCTCCAACCACTGCTCGGACTGTGTGTCGTGTTCGCTGCACCAGCTGTGTGTTGCTTACTGGTCGGGGGCCTCGCTCGCCATCCCTCTCAAGCACTTTGACAACACGCTGAAGAGCAGTAAGTCATTCACATTAGACCCAACCCAGCTGAGTACATTGGGACTGACCAACTGTTAGGCGGATGGTCCACCGACACAGAGATCGGCCACGGCGACCCGGATGAGCAAATGGTCAAGCTCTGCGACTACCTGCGGGGAGAGCTTCCCACCAAGTAAGTAGCTTTCTGGGTCTCCGATCTATTCAACTGCGACCCAACGGGTCATGGGGATATTCAAATGCTGACTTCTGCCCAGGTACTTCTCTCTGTTGGACCACACCATATCCATGCGGTTCAACCAGGTGATCGGATGCCCATGTGGCAACAAGTCCGTCACCCCAAACCGGACCACCTCCAACCTGGCACTGTCGATGCAGCCCAAGTCTGCCGCCGGTCTTACCGGATACGTGCGCAATCTTATGCAAGACCCGAGCCCCATCGACGACTACCAGTGCCGAAAGTGCGGGAAGAAGGTCACAGCCCGGATGTACTCGGAGGTCACCCACTTCCCCAAGATCCTGTCCATCCAGCTCAAGCGGATCGACTTCAGCGGTCGGAAGGACAACTCCGCAGTCAAAATCCCTGCGACCCTCGACCTCAGCCAGTACGCCGTAGACCCGCGATACAGCAAGGGCTTGTATGAGCTCGTCGCCGTCATCAAGCACCAGGGCACCGCCCAGTACGGCCATTACATCTGCGCGGCTAGAGGCCCGGATGGGCTGTGGATGAGCTACGATGACCTGAAGATGAGCAAGACTACCTTGGAGGCCGCGACCAAGAACTGCCGGGGGATGACACCCTACATGATGTACTACGAGAAGAAGCGGGCTCCATTGGCCGGGGAGGTGCAAGCTTGATCTTTCTGTGGCGGAAGGGGGTGGGGGGGGAGAAGGGGGTGGGTAATGGGTGGTAGCTGGTTTCCGAGTTCCTCGGTGTGCAAAAACCGGGTACATCCATAGTACATAGCGTGTTGCTGCTTTTCTAGACTAGACATGGGGAGACGGGCGGGATGGGTTCCTTCGATCCGGCGTTACTAGAGATACCAGTTGTGTTGTCGGCTGCAAAACCCGACTTTTTGGCGCTGGCTTGGCTTGTCTTGTCTTTTTGCGAAAAAAAAGAAAAAAAAAAATCTTTTTTTAAAATGTTTCTGAACGAACGAATGTAATTGTGTTGTTGGTTTGTTTACTCTCTCTCTTTTCTCTTTCCTCTTTCCTCTTTCCTCTTTCCTCTTT